GGATATACCTATATAATCTAGTAACATAAATTGCATCATTGCTCGAGTCACAAATTACAAAACACCAAGTACAGTTTCCACTAATATACAATTCCAAGACAAGTGCTATGACTTGTACATATAACAGTTATTTGATAATTTCCAATGCTTTTGGCTACCTACAATATTGGCTTGACTTCTTGATTTTACCACTGGCTACCTGGAAAAAATACTTGTAGCCATATGGCTAATTGGAAAAAAAATTTAAACTTTCAGCCTGGGGTGAAAAATTGCCAACTTTGACATTGTTGGCAATACCTTAATCAACATAATAAGCGTCCCGCTCTATCTAAGCACCCCCAGCGATATTTGCTTATATATTGGCTAGTGAACAATCCCAATTAGCACCCCTTCCGAATGATCAATGTACACAAGACTTATTTATTCGCATATAATATGCACTTGTGTGTTATATGCACCCTTAATTATGGGCAATTAAATTCTGGAAAAATATATTTGTCGTACATAAACATTTCAGGCTGTCAGCATAAACCACGAAATTTATCTTTCAACTTCGTTTTTTTTTCACCAAAATGATATTCTAATAAGAGCCCCCAATTCCAATTTTGAGAGCACCCTGGGCGCTTATTAAGTCGAATACGGTATTTATTCATTTCTAATACACTGATATCATCAAGCCTTAAAGATGGTTGTATACTACCTCAATACTATCGCGGTGGTCACAATAGTCATTCATTAACCTATATACCGTATATGACCGCGGATAAGCCGACCCCGTAGATAAGCCGAGGTGTTAACTTGACAATTGAAATACGAAAGAAAATGGTATGACCCGCAGATAAGCCGAACCAGGAATTGAAAGGCAAAAAAAAAACACTGCGAAGTCGGACTGCAAGACATGTGCCGGTACTCGCAGATATTCAAAAATATAAGATGAAAAACGTTGTAATTATATTGAAAAAGTCATTATTATTTCTAATAAAGATTTAACAAACCAGTCATCCACTTTCATAATGTGGGAAGCTGTTTCTCGTGGTTTTTTTTAATCTCATAATGATCGTTATATGTTGCCATCAACAACCAAGCGCCATTTTGTGAATCGGTGTATATAGAATTATGAACCCGTGAGAAAATATATCGGCTAGAGCGAAGACTTGCAGTTTGAATTCAGCATCGTAAGCATGGCGTTTTCGTTTCAAACTCATGATGAGAATGTCAGTCAGTAAAAATATACCAACTTTAATAACCCCCTTTACACCACTATCGTATGTTAATCCAATTGAATTAAATAAACTATCATACTATGAACACATTGAATGACCATCACTTACTCACAGGCTTCTCCAGTTTATTAAACTAATCTCTCGAAAACAAAGGAATTAAGCCCCTACTCCCAACACGATCGCTAAGCACCCACAACTTGAAATTGTTTGTGTAAACAACATGACAATACCAATCGGCCCGTTATTATCAATGCTCATTTCCTTGTGTACCGTGTTGCTTTAAACAACAGGAAGCAATCACAGTGGTCACCGTTTGTGACGTCACAGGAAACAGCTGATCACATGTTTTTGCAAATGGCGAACGGAATAACTCGCCGATAACAAAATACTACTGACATCAAAAGGAAATGACTTATCATGGTGACACAAGATAGTAACCTTGGTAAAAATATATATATCATTATCAATTATCAATGATGGCTCAAAACTTACTTATATAAAAAATAATTTCAGTAATCAATGTATTTGATAAAGGTTAAATACTAGGCCACTAGTTTCAGATGACTACGGTAGTTGTTTTCTCCCAAAATCTAGTTATTGTTCATAAACCAATGAACTGACTGTTGGATATGACTGATATTGCCTACCCCTGAATATATATGAAGTTCTGTTAGATATTGAAAAATATATCTACACATAACATTTGAAAAAACAACACTTTGAATAGCTGGAAAATAGAAATAGCTAGAACAAGCAATTTTTGTTTTTTTTCTTTCTCATTAAACACCGCACTTATCAATATTCTAGCTGCATGACAATAGTCTGTAAATAATTGCGTCTGGACCAGACAATTCAGTGATTGATATCATGAGCATCAATCAATGAACTTGGGACACGATGATATGCATCAACCAAGCCAGTGAGTCCGACCACCCGATCCTGTTAGTCACCTCTTATCATGCTTATGACAAGCATTGGTTGCTGGAGCCCCACATTCTCACCTGGAATCCCCCACCCTGTGAGGTCTGAACAAGGAAGTGTTGATATGGGGAACGGGCGTGGGATCATGTATCAGTTTCTATACCAGAGGATTTACTATTTCGAACTAAGTGCCCTTGAAAGGCAAATTGGGGGGAAAAGTCATGATTTTGTTCCAATTTGTCAAGATTCATAATTTCTACCTCTACAAGGACATAACATTAGTTGAGTATTATGAGTTCAGAATTTGTTATTTCCAATTTGTGAATGTTTACTGACAATTTTTTGCTGAGTTTGGGCAAAATATCGGCCTCTAAGTTGGTCCTAATATATCCCTGTATACATTGTGTATGCTGAATGACATCGAAGAATATCATGCTGATAAAATATTGCAACATAAACCTGATAAATGTTCAGGGTGAAACGATACAGCAAGGTCACGATATGATACATATTGCGATATACAGATCACGATACGATATATATATCGCGATATACCGTAATCATATTTACATCAAATCACATGGAACTTCTTGACAATAATTATTTAGCAGCTTCCAAAGGAAAAGCTAGCTGTAGCCACATGTTCGCAGTAGCAATTTTTAGTCGTGAAGTTGAAAAGCTGATTACAACGCATTTTGCAATATTTGACTGACAAAAACTCTGGGGTGGAGGTGGGGATCATTAAACGAGTTGTAAGTAATTCATTTTAGCAAGTATATAGTCATGTATCAATACAAAAAAAGATGTATCATGTATCATGTATCGTATCGAAAAAACATGATGCACCAGAGCACCGATGTATGGCTTCACCCCTAAAGCCCCCGTTACACTATCAATAACTTTGATCAAAAACTTGGTCAAAGTCCATTTTGACCAAGTTTATGAAAGTGTAACATGCCGTCAAAAATTTTGACCAAAGTTTTTGACGGGACTTTGATGGAATAGAAACCGATCCTATTTCTCGTCAAACTTTGATCAAAGTTTGATGACGTTGATTTAATTTAGCCAATCAGACTGCAAGGAACATTTACCCCTTTTCAACCGGAAGTGCAAATAGTCAAGTCAAAATGAATCAACTACTTTGGACTGACGAGATGTTGGAAGAATTAATTGAATTGTTTCAACAAAGTGCAGCCTTTCTTGGGACCAAATATGCCTTTGCCTACTCAGACGCCACCTTCTCAACATGGCAATACACAAAATACATATCATATGACAACGGCAAACAATTCTTCATCAGTAGCATCTACCTTGGCAAGATAATTCCCAACAAAACTTTGACGGCCTGTCCAAAACTTTGATGAGTGTAAACAGTCCAACTTGGACCAAGAAAACTTGGTCAAAGTTTTCTTTACCAAGTTTATTATGAAAGTTTTGGATAGTGTAACAGGGGCTTAATATATGTACACATTGTTGTGGTCACTTTGGCATCCATTTTAACTACAGCAATTTTGGCTTGGTTCATGTACTACCATACACACTAATATATGCAGACTTAAAATAATAACAAATTTAAGCATGAAAATCAAAGACCCTTATCATAATCTGACCCTTATGTCAAAAGAAAAGAGGCTTAAACATGTCAGAGGCATTTTCATGTTAAACAGAAAATTACAATTGCAGTAGATTACAAATCCACACTACATGGGGCGAAGGATATTCAAATTACAGAGGCTTATGATCAAAACAATTTCCAGCTTGTCTGCAATGTACATTGGACTTGTGGTAAACATATAATATTTTGTTTTAGAAAACTACTAATCCTTTCAACTTTTTACTTGTCTCTGTCAAGCAGACTTCACGTATTACTTATCATAGTTCATCCTTCATCAGTGAGTAGCATGCTGGCAGAATACATTGACTGGTGATATAACACATAAATAATGATATTGATAATAATGATAAAAATAATAATTTCACAGTCCACTTAAGTTAAAAAACAAACATAACTCCTCACAATGTATGCTCGCAGGTAATTAGTATTACCCCCATCACTGGTTCAGTTAGCATTTAAGTTGTATGCCCAGCTCCCTGGGAAGTATACAACCCAAGTAACCTTTCAAGAATTCCTTATTTGCTCACTGTCCCTCTGAAGACAGATATCCATACCTAAATATCGACAATAAACATATTGGCCATAACTATATATCCTCCTACACCATCAATTGTTTAAGCTATGTACAACTATACTTGTATAATCTATACCATGTCATTTACAGACAACTGTAAATCAAGACAAGACAAATATCAGCTGATTACATAATTTGACCATTAATGCACAGTGGATCAAATTAATATTAATCCTGCTGCTTTGCCTCACAAATTAGTGATAGATACATTCATATGCATTCATCGGAAACATACATGTGTCACAACCAGAGATATTAACTGCACTTGCAGACAGCTGGCGTTTTCGTTGTGTGCAAGGAATCCAATGCTGAAGTATTGATCATGTTGACATCGACTTCTGACAAGAATCTACCAAAAAGGCTCGGTTTATCAGATAAAATCAATATCAGTTCAGGCTCGTGGGTGGAATTGCCACAATCTAATACGGGTAGGGGTTGAATTGCTTTGAACAGAACTTCCAAAGGTTAAATAATCACGACATCATTTAAACCCCCCAGGGATCTGTAGACATATCGTACACCAGGTCGGCAGACCCGAGTCTCCCCATTAAAAAAACGGACAGTCTGTCCGCTCAAACAGGAGATACATTGTAACCGAACCTCATTTTACCTTTATAGGGGCAATCTATCAAGTGATATGCTGTGTGATATATTTTAAAATACTTACGACGGTATCATAAAGGAATCTGTATATGAGTAATCGACGTCGGATTTTGACCATTTCCAAAATACCGGAAGTTTCGTGATCATCGCAGTCGGACTAGGAAACCGGGAAATTTTCTAGACTTGATGACAGTCGCCAAAATACTTCCGTGTTGGTAGCCGGTTACCGCTTGAAATATGGCTCGTGAGATAAGGTTCTCCTGTTTTTTTCGCTATGAGAACCCACTTAACCTCTATATATTATTTGCACTGGATATATTTATGTTTACAGCATCCTAACTGAACTGAAAGGTAAAAACAACAACGTAAGAATAGATCTATATCACACACAAAAATATAGAAAGTTATTCTTTCCCCCACCCATTTCACAGTGAGACTGTTTGCATGATTTTAAATTTGTGAATGCAAACGGAACATACAATCTCAAAGATAATTACACCAAATGATGTCATATAAGTAACTTCGTATCCGAACATATTCAGTTACAGTTTTTGTTTGAGTTTTGTAGTTATATGCTTCTATTTTTCATCCTCGATTATCCAGTGCATCATATATCTCCATTATAATGGAATGGTATTATGTATGCTGGACAATCAAGAATGTTTATTTTTCGAATCCATATATGCCTCACTTTTTTAAAAAAAAGTTACATTTTGTGAATAAAGGATACCAGCGCGGGCCTAAATATTTAGATCAGTAATACACATACCAGTTAGTGATCAGTAAGTCTTAGTGGTGTTGTGTTTGCTATTCAAAATTGATATAAGGAATTGCAGCAAAAAAAAAGTTCATATTATTTTTGGATTAACTTTTGATTTAAATCGGACGTTACTTACATAAGCTTGATATGTTGATCACAATGTGATTTTTGAGAAATTACTGAAAAAGGTTTGTGAGAGTTTCTATAAGTATACAGTGAAGGGAAATAGGTATATAGCTGCAGGTGAATGTACATTTACATATTGGCTGTGCATATTTAATTACCAGTTATCTTTGTAATACGAACACAAACATATTATAACATATATTATATTAGAATAAATAAGTTTATGTCAAGGAAGATGACTCGGAAACTACTATTTATGATGGTTGAAAGGGGGTTATGCAATGGGGTTATACAAGGGAGTTATGCAAGGGAAACCCCTTTGATATATAGCAATACTAACTGGTCACTAATCACGGGTACCACAGAAATTGAAATGGTTTTGAACTGCCCATGCTAGTATGTAACGCATGAAAACCTTTAATGATATGAGATTAGCCAAAACAATATTAAGTTTAAGTAACACCTATTGTTCAAATGACGTAATGTGATCAATTCAAGACGGTATGAACAATGGATGACGTCACATCGTATTGTTCCTACTAAGGAAGCACTGAGACGTCATATGGCTTCAGTTGACCAATCAGCTTTAAGAATCAGTAAATTTCACAGGTGCAAAGATTGGAAAATTATTACACACGATCACACCACCGACACATATTTCACCCCATACGTCTTAATGATTAATTAACCTCTCCCCGCGAAGATGCGGGTTAAAATTGTTCATGCTTGTCGTAAGAGGCGATTAACGGGATAAGGATTGGGTTGATGCTTGTCATCGTATCCCAATCGCGTAGATAGTTGCTCATGATATCAATCATTGGATTGTCTGGTCCAGAATCGTTCTTATACAGAGCACGGTCATATAGCTTGAGTATTGCTGAGTGCCGAAAATGGCGTTAAACAACAAACAAACAAGATCAACGTTTAACCTGTTGTATTTCGAGTAATCATGCTAAAAGCGACAGAAGATAACATCTTTCAATAATTTAACCGGGGCGGTCGGGTAGCCTAGTGGTTAAAGCGTTCGCTCGTAACGCCGAAGACCCGGGTTCGAATCCCGACATGGGTACAATGTGTGAAGCCCATTTCTGGTGTCCCCCGCCGTGATATTGCTGGAATATTGCTAAAAGCGGCGTAAAACCATACTCACTCACTCACTCACTCACTCACTCAATAATTTAACCAAAATTGCGTTATGTGTTCTGCTGAAGATTTGATGTATCTACATTTCATAATTTCTTTATAAAAACACAACAGTTTATTGGATATACCTCTTGGCACATGTTGATGTGAAAAAAATGATGTTTCAACTGTCAAGTAAAAGACAGTACAGATTAGAAATCTTGGCGTTTGTTCTCCTTCTGAGCCGCAGTCAAGATTAGATATCACCCTACTTCAGTCCACTTTGTTATCTCAACCATTCTTTTGGAGAGACTGACATGACGGCCTAACTGTGATGTCAATTACGCGTATTTACACAATGTGCTCATCGGTATTTACATGTATGCCTCATAAACGCAAACAAGTATGTGAAAGAATTCGCTTCAATACTTTTTGCATTTATGGTTTATTTACAGCCAACAATAACTGCTTCACGGACTTCTTGTTCAATCTTTAATAAACAACCTTGAGACAACAATTTGAAATCAGTTACATCGTTCAGCGCAGTATTTACACCAAACCCCATCCACCTTATCAGGAAACAGTACTCTGCCATTTGAAGTGGCCTAATTGTTTTATTTATTTATTTTTTTTAAACATGAACGTAAAATATGATTGCTTGTTTAGCCAACCAAACGCCATGGAATCACTTGGAGTTTTCATTTCAAATAATGATTTTGTTGTGGTACCAGACCAAGACACAGCGTGTCTCATGTTAAGGGGCCCCCTCAACTATTCAGCCAACTTAATGACATACTACTTGTACACATACTTAAATCCCGTTGGTATTCCAGGACTAAAATGGCCCCCAGCACCCGGTTCGTCAAAAAATATGATGGTGGATGGTCACAGTGTGTCTCCTGGCTGATTGGGTGCCGGGGCACGGCGTCAGGTTTTGTTCGTGCTATCAACCACTGGTTTACCAAGGAAATACCCTTTGATATAGTTGGAACGTTGCTGACATACAGTTTCGTTTTTCGTGAACTGCTTCCGTGGTCATGCACACGCGTGCAAGCTATGTAAGTACAATAATCTCGAACGTGACGTTAACCTCCCACCTTCACCTCGTTATGAATCTTATTCGAATGACGCGACGCTTAAAATAGCCGTCCTATCAAATTACACCCATGTGCGAGAGTCATCCTTTGGGAAGTTACTGTTAAGGAAGATAGTTGACTTCACTTCCTCTAAACGCAGCTATAAGAGCTAATGTTTCCCAGGTATTTATCAGAACACAGTGCATTATCCAGTGCATTTATGAGTCTATATATTATTATTATATCCTCAACTCATTCGCCAAAAGCTTCGTTTTGGAAGTGACGTCACGAGCTCCAGCCCCTGTTTCTAACTTAGCACAGAATTTCACTCGCTCGAAAGAATTATTTGATTGCTTGCAAATAGGTCCAGGGTATTTATCATAATTTAATGGATATAGACCGGATAATCGAAAAATAGCCTCCCACTCACACTACACTCACGAGCGAGACAAATTCTGTGCGCAGTGAGTGGTAGACGATGACGTCACTTCCGAAAAGAAGTTATTGATGCCAAAATAGCGAATGAAGATTATAATACCCTGCATTATATAAAAAATAAGACTCCTGATATAAAGAAGCAATGGGGTCCAACCGATGCTTTATTTCCTCTGATTTCTATGAACAATAGCGTGAAATATGCAATGTATTTTCTATAGAGGATATATTTTAATAAATACCGAACGTCTATGTATCTTTTCGCAATATCGACATGTGAGATTAATCTCATTTTGATAAATGTCTAGATACCACTGAAACATGATGGTCACAAATCACACAGTGCAACGAAGCAAAGGAGTGTAGTCAAATACCTATTGTCATGGAACAGTTACAAGGCTTGTGATTAGCAAGTCGTTTACAAAAATAAATATATTTTGTCAGATGTGTACAGGGTATGGTTTTTACAAACGGTCATTTTTATTAGGGAATATATATTTAGTGGAGTTTCATTTGTTTCCAGATTTATAGACTTTTCCGAATATATCGCACCGAGAAACTACACAGGGCAAGTCTGTATAAGCACTTTAGGTTTCAGGTGCTTGGAGCGATTTAAGCCCCAGGTAATAACGCACACTTAATGCCTGTTAAGAGTACCCGAGTTATCTCCCTTTGTTGAAATTGTAGATTTATTATTAGTGTTAGTTCCCCTCTGTTCACGTTGTAACATTTTCATGGATAAAATTAAGAGCATGAAGTTACTCTTTATCCTATTTATGTTGTCTGTCAATGCCATGTTATTTTAAAATTGTGAATAATTATATCGTGTTATTATTGTTCAACTGATTGAAGCGTCCGTAAAATACACAAAAGAGTGTTTTTTTGTCTGTTGTTTGACACCGCACTCAGCGATATTCCAACCATATGACAGTGATTTGTTAATAATCGATCCTGGTCCAGACAATCCAGTAATTGATATTATGAGCAGCGATCCATGCCGTCGGATAACACTGTCACCGAGCCTGACCACCCGCTCAAGCACAGTTAGCTGGCCAGGAATCCCCACGAGTTCCAAAGCCGAGCTCAAAGAACAGGGTGTAGTATGGAAAGCTGTAAGGGACATTCTCGCGATCTCGCATTCTCGGCTAAAATCTCGCGTTTTCCCTATCTTACATTCTCGCACTTTTGGCATATTTAGCTCGTTTTCAAAGGTCGAGATCGATAGAATGCGAGATCGCGAGAATGTCCCTTACAGTATTCCGTAGTGTATATTCCGTTATATGGTCTCTGGTAGAAACATTGACGCCTAAATCCATATATTCATAAGGGATCAAGAAGCAATAGTGACTGTTTTTATGCCGATACCGATATTACTGTACAAAGTCAACACTCGTCAAAATCTGGATAGGAGGAAATCATTTGACCGGATTGCGGATTGCGAGGACTCCAGACCAGCAAGGGTCCATTGTACTGTATTGTGCTGTCAAAGGCTTTGTGTGTATATGAATGTTCTGTTTTCATATATATATATTTACAGGGATAATCAGTTTTTGTGTACCAATGTGAAGATTCAATCTCAGAGTGCTTTGTAGTCTGTCTTACAGTCCCAGAACGATATTATCTCCCCTTCCGCCCGGCCCTGACTGTGATGCTACAGCCCGGAATAGAGCAAGTCTAGATTTTCCCCAGGTTCAGGATCTGCCATCTCACTGGGGAAACTTTTCAGTTTATATGTTGTTGCTTGTTTCTATCAAAATTATATATTTTCAGAGACTAAGTGTTTTTGATATTCGGCTCCAGTGCACGTTGTATTAGGCTCCGATGACCTGTGGTGTATATGCCCCGAGATTAGGTTGTGTAAGGCTCCGAGAGCCGACAGGACATGTCTCAATTGTACGTTCTATAACTCCCATGGTGTTCGAGTAGTGTTAAGCTCCGAGGACCTGGCATATTTGTTTCCGAGTGCATGTTTTCTTTGGCTCCGAAAGTCTGTGTTATACAGACCGCTTCCGTGGTCTTGTGGTAGAGCGTCCGCCCGGAGAGCGGAAGGTCCAGGGTTCGATCCCGGGCCGCGTCATACAAAAAGACGTTAAAAGATTGTACTTGTTGTTACCCTGTCTGGCGCTCGGCATTAAGGGGCTAAAACAAGGACTGGTCGGCTCGGAGTCAGTATACTGTGTCTGAGTGGTGTATTCATGTTAAACTGCGGCATGGTATCTCAGTGAGCTGGCACTATAAATCGGCATCAGTCCGGACTAGTACAAGCAGCCACACACACACATACACGTGCATGCACGTCGCTATATAAGTGCAATAATCTTGGACGTGACGTTAAACCCAATTTCACCTCACCTCACCTGTGTTATACAGCTCCGAATGCAGGTTGTATTGTTTGGTTCCGATAGCCTGTGGTATATGGCTCACAGTGCAGGTTGTATTGTTTGGCTCCGATAGCCTGTGGTATATGGCTCATAGTGCAGGTTGTATTGTTTGGTTCCGATAGCCTGTGGTATATGGCTCACAGTGCAGGTTGTATTGTTTGGCTCCGATGGCCTGTGGTATATGGTTCACAGTGCAGGTTGTATTGTTTGGCTCCGATAGCCTGTGGTATATGGCTCACAGTGCAGGTTGTATTGTTTGGCTCCGATAGCCTGTGTTATACAGCTCCGAATGCAGGTTGTATTGTTTGGCTCCGAGAGCCTGTGGTATATGGCTCACAGTGCAGGTTGTATTGTTTGGCTCCGATAGCCTGTGGTATATGGCTCACAGTGCAGGTTGTATTGTTTGGCTCCGATAGCCTGTGGTATATGGCTCACAGTGCAGGTTGTATTGTTTGACTCCGATGGCCTGTGGTACATGGCTCACAGTTGCAGGTTGTATTGTTTGGCTCCGAGAGCACGTGGTGTACGGCTCACAGTGCAGGTTGTATTAGGTCCCGACAGCCCGTGGATGAGCATGTTTTCACAGGGTCCGAATGCAGGTTGTATTATGCTCCGACTTAATGATTGTGTTATATGGCTCCGAACGCAGGTTGTATTATGCTCCGAGAATATGTGTTACATGGCTCTGAATGCAGGTTGTGTTAGGCTCCGAGAATATGTGTTACATGGCTCTGAATGCAGGTTGTGTTAGGCTCCGAGAATATGTGTTACATGGCTCTGAATGCAGGTTGTGTTAGGCTCCGAGAATATGTGTTACATGGCTCTGAATGCAGGTTGTATAAGGCTCCGAGAATATGTGTTACATGGCTCTGAATGCAGGTTGTGTTAGGCTCCGAGAATATGTGTTACATGGCTCTAAATGCAGGTTGTGTTAGGCTCCGAGAATATGTGTTATTTGGCTCTGAATGCAGGTTGTGTTAGGCTCCGAGAATATGTGTTATTTGGCTCTAAATGCAGGTTGTATAAGGCTCCGAGAATATGTGTTACATGGCTCTGAATGCAGGTTGTGTTAGGCTCCGAGAATATGTGTTATTTGGCTCTGAATGCAGGTTGTGTTAGGCTCCGAGAATATGTGTTACATGGCTCTGAATGCAGGTTGTGTTAGGCTCCGAGAATATGTGTTACATGGCTCTAAATGCAGGTTGTGTTAGGCTCCGAGAATATGTGTTACATGGCTCTGAATGCAGGTTGTATAAGGCTCCGAGAATATGTGTTATTTGGCTCTGAATGCAGGTTGTGTTAGGCTCCGAGAATATGTGTTACATGGCTCTGAATGCAGGTTGTGTTAGGCTCCGAGAATATGTGTTACATGGCTCTGAATGCAGGTTGTGTAAGGCTCCGAGAATATGTGTTACATGGCTCTGAATGCAGGTTGTGTTAGGCTCCGAGAATATGTGTTATTTGGCTCTAAATGCAGGTTGTATAAGGCTCCGAGAATATGTGTTACATGGCTCTGAATGCAGGTTGTGTTAGGCTCCGAGAATATGTGTTACATGGCTCTGAATGCAGGTTGTGTTAGGCTCCGAGAATATGTGTTACATGGCTCTGAATGCAGGTTGTATAAGGCTCCGAGAATACGTGTTACATGACTCTGAATGCAGGTTGTATTATGCTCCGACTTAATGATTGTGTTATATGGCTCCGAACGCAGGTTGTATAAGGCTCCGAGAATATGTGTTACATGACTCTAAATGCAGGTTGTGTTAGGCTCCGAGAATACGTGTTACATGGCTCTGAATGCAGGTTGTATAAGGCTCCGAGAATACGTGTTACATGGCTCTGAATGCAGGTTGTGTTAGGCTCCGAGAATATGTGTTATTTGGCTCTAAATGCAGATTGCATGTGGCTCCAAGGATATGAGTTATATGACTCCGAATGCAGGTTTTATGGGCTCCGAGACTTCGTGTTATATTGCTCTGATGCCAAGCTGTACAGTACCAGGTTAATGTAATGGGAAATGTGACAATATGTACTAATGCCAACGTGAAACAAGACTATGAATACATATTGGAGAATTGATATAGTTTGTAAGTAACAGTCATAAAAAATGTCAAGTATTGCGTCTCTAATCCATACTGTTGTATGTTGTTGTACTCTGCTTCTGAAAATGTTCCAGCCACGTTCATAGGACTCGAAACGATGCAATATTTTGTTCTTTAAATGATTAATTCAATATACCAACTGGAGTATGTATGACGTGCCAGAAAATCACAGGAAATAAAGCCTTGTCATAAATGCTACGTCTGACTTTGTTAATACAATATTAGTATAATTAGGCCAGTTTCAGCTTTGTGCTTTCTCTGTAGACTAAGCTAGTCAACAGGTAAATACCCCTTTTTTGAAAGTTCTGGTTTTGCGTTCGTGAAAAATATATGTTTGGCGTAATATATAGATAGGGCCTAAAGAAATACATGGATATTATTTAAAACATAAATGGTGAAGTCCAACGGTTTCGATTTTGATTTAATATGATTTTTCTTCTGTGACAAGTTATCCATTGAAAAATGACTAAATGACTTCTTCATCTCATTGAGGTGAGGCCTATTGTCAAGTCAAGAATCATAATCTGGGCGAATGTTGGATTCGAACCCCTATTATATATAGGATTCTGGCAAGATGAGTGTGCATTGGTGTGGCATGTAGAACCCACTTTGTGAACGATGTTAGTACAATGACTGCTTCTGCCTCCTCTTTTACGTTGAGTTCTTTGTGCTGAGAGGCATGGACTGATCTTGGCACTCCTGCACAAACCGATCTTAGCAATACGCTTGTTCTGAAGTCATCCTTTAACACAGGCTAGTAAAGGCAAGTAGGTTCGTGGAAATAACCCGTCGACACACGTAATACGTAGCTACGAGAACGCATGAAATAGTGTTTGTCCTGTATACAGTAAAAGACGTTTATAACGAACACGCTTATAACGAACTGACGGATATAACGAACTTTATTTTTGGTCCCGGCCATTTGTTGTTTAGATGTTGTTTATATGCTTATAACGAACTACGGTTATAACGAACTAAAATTAGTGGTCCATTTGAGTTTGTTATAACCGTAGTTTACTGTATATCGATGTAGGGTACCAAGGCTTACGTCTTTGAGTCAGTAACCGTGTCATATAAATAGATTCTTTCTCTTCTTACGCACGAAAAAAAAGCGTTTTTTCAACAATTAATATTCAAAGAAAGACTGAAATGGCAGCAGCTTCCGCCTTTCATACTTCCATGAAAACAGTCTGTTGGAATACTCTTCGCAACATTTACAGAACCTCTTCCCTAGGACGTCACAGAAGTGAGTCCCAGCATCCGCGTCAAGGAGGCTTCTTGCGCATGTCGGAAATCTCGAGTTCCGCTTCCGGTATTCCTCAGAGTACTTATGACGAACATACAAGTCTTTGTTCATGCGTCTGCTGAAGTAGTTCTCATACACCGTTGGGATGTGAACTTCATCACGCTCATATTTCTTGAAATCCCCCGTTCTGTAGTAATCCGCCAAAATATAGTCCCGTTCTTTGTCCATGGATCGCCTCGGAGTGCAGGTGTCTGCCGATGCTACGACAGTTTTATCCCTTACCAGTCTCTGATATTGCTTACGTTGCTTGGTACCGTATAAGTTCTTACGGTCAAACAACCGGTCGTTTGATTCCGCCACCAGCAAGCTGTTCTCTTTGCCTAACACGGGCATAGTCCAGTATTTGGTTTTCGTCCGGTGTTTAATCTTTCTGGAGCGAGGATCTCCGATAACTGCAAATTTTGAACAAACTAGTTCCGGTATTTTGGTGTCAGACGAGCTGCCCAAGGATTCCGAGCTCTGAAGGAAGCTGACGCTTTCAAGGTCATCGTTATTGTCATCAAAACCGAGATTATGAACCGGAAGTAATTTTCCTGCTGATGATAGCCTTGACCTTTTAGGTCGTCGACGAGTCGGTTCTTTCTGATTTCCCATTGTGCCTTGGCTGAAGCATAAATGAAAGGTGTAAATTATTAAAATATCAAATGTCTTTGACTCTTTTAGTAAACAAACACGCTCAAATTGCCTTTTGCACAGAGCCTATGAGTCACCATTCGGATGTCGCTCGCTACAGAAAATCTACCACCACGGAGAGAGCTGTATAGTCCCAACTTACACATCACAGAACCAGCAATGTATCCAAACCCCCATCACAGAACCCGTACTGTCACCAAATCACTTATAACAAAACTCATACAAAACCTATCCATCACAGTCCTAACACACCACAGATCACAGAACTCATACATTCATCGACCGCAGATCACAGAGCCCATACAGTCTTGAATCTCATATGACAGAACCCATACAGTCCCGACTCACATTTGACAGAACCAGTACAGTCCTGACTCACATTTGACAGAACCCGTACAGTCCTGACTCACATTTGACAGAACCCGTAAGCCCCGACTCCTATATCACAGAACTCATACAGTCCTGACTCATATATCACAGAACCCGCACAGTCCTGACTCATATATCACAGAGTCCATACAGTCCTGACTCCTATATCACAGAACTCGTAGAGTCCTGACTCCCATATCACAGAGTCCATACAGTCCTGACTCATACATCACAGAACCCGCACAGTCCTGACTCATATATCACAGAGTCCATACAGTCCTGACTCCTATATCACAGAACTCGTAGAGTCCTGACTCCCATATCACAGAGTCCATACAGTCCTGACTCATACATCACAGAACCCGCACAGTCCTGACTCATATATCACAGAGTCCATACAGTCCTGACTCCTATATCACAGAACTCGTAGAGTCCTGACTCCCATATCACAGAGTCCATACAGTCCTGACTCATACATCACAGAACCCGCACAGTCCTGACTCATATATCACACAGAGTCCATACAGTCCTGACTCCTATATCACAGAACTCGTACAGTCCCGACTCCCATATCACAGAACCCGTGCAGTCCTCAATCAGATATCACTCAACCCGTACAGTCCTGACTCACATATCACAGAACTCGTACAGTCCTGACTCACATATCACAGAACCCGTACAGTCCTGACTCACATATGACATAGCCCGTTAGCCCGACTCACATATCACAGAACCCGTAAAGTTCTGACTCACATATCACAGAACCCGTACAGTCCTGACTCACATATCACAGAACCCGTACAGTCCTGACTAACATATCACAGAACCCGTACAGTCCTGACTCACATATCACTCAACCCAAACAGTCCTGACTCAAATATGACGGAACCCGTGCAGTCCTGACTCACATATGACAGAGCCAGTACAGTCCTGACTAACATATCACTCAACCCTACAGTCCTGACTCACATATGACAGAGCCCGTGCAGTCCTGACTCACATATCACTCAACCCTACAGTCCTGACTCACATATGACAGAGCCCGTGCAGTCCTGACTCACATATGACAGAGCCCGTACAGTCCTGACTCAAATATCACTCAACCCTACAGTCCTGACTCACATATGACAGAGCCCGTGCAGTCCTGACTCACATATGACAGATCCCGTACAGTCCTGACTCACATATGACAGAGCCCGTACAGTCCTGACTCACATATGACAGAACCCGTACAGTCCTGACTCACATATGACAGAGCCCGTGCAGTCCTGACTCACTTATGACAGAGCCCGTACAGTCCTGACTCACATATCACAGAGCCCGTAAGCCCCGTCTCACATATCACAGAACCCGTACAGTCCTGACTCACATATGACAGAACCCGTAAGTCCTGACTCACATATCACAGAACCCGTACAGTCCTGACTCACATATCACAGAGCCCGTACAGTCCTGACTCAAATATCACAGAACCCGTACAGTCCTGACTCACATATCACAGAGCCCGTACAGTCCTGACTCACATTCCACAGAGACCGAAGCCCCGACTCACATATCACAGAACCCGTACAGTCCTGACTCACAAATCACAGAGCCCGTAAGCCCTGACTCACATATCACAGAACCTGTACAGTCCTGACTCACAAATCACAGAGCCCGTAAGCCCCGACTCACATATCACAGAACCCGTACAGTCGTGAATCAGTCCTGACTCACATATCACACAACCCTACAGTCCTCAATTACATACAATCACATAGTCCTGAATCACCTATCACAGAACCCGTATTCCCAAGTCACCTAACTCACAACCTTCCAGGCCTTAATCACATAACACAGACTTAACCCGTGCAGCCCATTAGTACCCCTCCACTAAATCTGTACAGTCCTCAGTTACGTGTCACAGACCCCTACAGTCCTATCTGAGAGCTACCAAGGCCCCAGTCACCCAACCCTACTCTTTGTACGACACTCCACATTTATAACTATCGCTAAGCCAAGTAGTTGCTACATGATCTGACTGAAGTGATCGTATCAACTAACACTGATTCAATATTTGTGTAGCGACTTGTTACAGATTTATCTGTCTCCACGTGGAGCGTTCAAAAGACTATTACTTACACTATAGAAACAAACGAATCAACACCTCAATCACTGGGAGCGTTTAGATAACACTATCCACTGTAGCACACTGCAATTTATACACGAACACTCCATTAATATACGGCATATGGGTTAATGGTTGAAACCATGGAACGGTAGTTTCTCCTTCTAGCTCAGAAGTCTGGAGTGGTACCTGGAAGTGCCTGTTGTTAAGAGCTTGGACAACAATCACGTATATACTATCTAAAGTTGTGCCATGATGCCGTAAAACCTCGAAAAATGCCCTAATATTGTCAGGGATGCTTCGCGATAGTTGACTCAACACACATGAATAGAAACGAGTTGTGTAATATTTTTAAGTTTTGAAGCCTTTTTATATACTGATGGAAACGAATAAGGGAACAGTGGAAATTAAAGGGGGGAATAAGCTTTACTGTCAGTACATATAAAATAGCACGAATACAAATTCATCACGTCAGAATCAAATGTTGAGATGTGTTTGTGTGCGTTGTTTCCAATGTGTATTTGGTAGACAAGGCTGAAAACCCATGATAGCATATCACTTTACTCTGTACAATACTTGTGTTCCCTTATATATTTCTAGGTGCGGTGGGGTACTCTGGCAGTAATAATTCGTGGGAGACATGTTAAGGTAAGTTTGGCTGAAAAGTTCTGAGCTTAACTTTGATGGACTGCATTCTCCTGGAGGAACAACACACCTAGAGATGTTCCACGACGTCTAGCCTCGAAAGTCCGTTGCCTAAGCAAATTTGTACAATATTAGCCATGAATGGTCTGACCTCTTGATCTGTCCACCAGTAGGATTCCCTTAGAATCCAAGAAAACCCACGCCATTACGTTGCCAGCTGACAGGGAACAGACTTTGCCTAACTTGGAGGAGGAGAGGTTATATGTATCCAATGCATTGACTGCTGAAACTCACGCATGGCTACTCATCGGTCGACAAAACGAGACTGCGCCAAAACAACGAAAATTCGATGATGAACCTGGATCGTTCATGATCAGGAACCTTGAACCTCGGAACCCAGGGTGCTGAAACCTTCGCGCAGTTCATTCCTCGGAATGTTCTCAAGCCCTAAAGTTAACACCACGTCCGCAAGGATGGCTGTTGGAGGGAGATACTTGATAAAATCGCCGTAACCAGTTTTGTCCGTTTTCATCAACAGTGAATACCTTGTTATTGACGCCTACAGAATGCAGCGTGTAAGCATGGACATAGTCGGTCATACAGATCCTGATACAAATATATCCATTACAGCCCATGCCTGTCTATGTTTGGCAAGGAAAGATAACTGCAGTATCTGAAAATGAAGAGAGTCTCTGGGCTCCTTTTTATTATACTTTTATAAAGATAATTTAACAACTGTTTTTTTTCCTGTATGATATGCTCATTTCAGAGACTAGATGTTAGTCTAGCACAGTATTGCACTTAATACAACTGTTAAGGTTGTACCAGACATCCTTCGTAGTTCGGCTCAAAGTGTTTCAACTACCCTTCGTAATGTCCCACGCAATGGCAATAAGAAAATGTATCAATTTGTTACACAGCCCAGATAATGATAATACACCTATGGCCTTTTCAGTATGATTAGAGAAGGACTGTAAATGATAAAAAAACTCCCCCGCGGTCTTGACTGAGAATATAAGCCCAGGGTAGGAGGATATTAGGGAGGGTCGAATCGCCATCCTCCTTTTGCCTCTCCAATATACCTCTGCCCTGGGCTTACTTTCGCAGGCTAGACGGAGGAGGAGGTTTTTATCCAGCATTTAAACCGTCTAAATGCAAGAAATACCAGAAAAAATAGATATCGTCATACCTTATTGTGAAACAAATTCAGTGCATCGCGGTATAAAACAAATTCGGTAAACGCGTGTGGGAGAAAGACCAGGTGCAACATGCACGCAACTCAAGTCATGCCATGTAGGATTAAACACCCTTTCATCACCTGCCCCTGTGGCTCTGTGGGTAAACAGTAGGATACATTCCGGGTGGTCAGTTGCAGGTTTGGGTGACTTTTTTTCATTGCACTAAATACTACCGGTAATTTTGTGATTTGAATTTGAAGAAATGATGTAATCTGTTCTGAAAGTGACGCAATGGGGATATGTATAATTAATCTGACAGGTGTCAATTTCTGTGGACAAATTTAGGTTTGAAACAGCATTTAATCAATGAGGAAATGTGTCGTGTGAATGACTGTGCAGGCCCGAAATGACTTGAAGATTTAACAACCCGAATCTGGGTTCAACAACATCAACATCTTTACATCCACACCCACGACGGGTACAGCTGCAGCAACATCCACACTCCAACCCACACCTTCCATACACACCCGGGGGCACGGGTGGCCTAGTCGTCTAAGGCGCCGCGATTCGCCGTGCAGAGTTGCGTCCCTTGGGCACGCCAGAAACCTATGATTGTGGGTTCGAATCCCGGTTCGCCCCGATTATGTTTCTAGGATTGTCAGCACCATACCCGTGCTCGTAGGTTTCACCGAAGTGGTAAACGTCTAAGACCTGGACCACCTCGGGCTTTCCTCCCACATTAAGCTGACACGCCGTGACATAACTGGAATAATGTTAAAAGTGGCGTTAAACCGAACTCACTCACTCACTCCATACACACCCTCCCGCATGAAGATACATCGAATGTTTAAGACACGTGTAACGTGTGCTGTGTGTGCCTCATCAATTGGGGAAAGTCTCACTATATTCAAAGACTTACCGTACACCTTACCCCTCCTGCACAAGCACCACACCTCACTACCGTAATAGAAGAGGTAAAATGATATGCCTACCTTGAAGCTAGCAAGACGTTGTTGGTGAGTCGTTAACACCAAAGTGTTGAGACGCATGCGTGCACGACGTCGCCAACATGACGGTGATGTTCAACGGACTGGGCAGTAGATCTGCAACACGCGTTGTAACAATGTTACCTTGTCGTGTCTGTTACTACCCCTCACAATCCTATCTCGACCACATCATACAGAGCTGGACGCTTAACTTGGTGTTACCTTACACATCAACGCCATGACTTCCTTGCTATCATCAAACACGCACACTGCTCGTTAAATTTCGAATTAAAGAAGCTCTTCGAACGCTGGCATAAACTTCCAGAGGTGTGTATGATTGTTAGGTTCGAGTATATTTGGTTGGTTTGGGGCAGGGCAGGGCAGGGCAGGGCAGGGCAGGGCAGGGCAGGGCATTGCAGGGCAGGGCAGGGCATTGCAGGGCAGGGCAGGGCAGGGCAGGGCAGGGCAGGGCAGGGCAGCCTTACTATGTGTAGGGAAGTGTCATCTTACATGTTGTTTGTTGTTTAACGCTACATTCAGCAATATTCCAACTATTTGATGACGGCCTGTAAATACTCGAATCTGAAGACAATCCATGTCATCGTATCCCAATTTCGTAAGGCCGATGCTCATGATATCAATCACTGGATTGACTGGTCAAGACTCGATTATTAACATACCGCCGTCATATAGCTGGGATATTGCTGAGTGTGGCGTTAAAAAAACGAACAAACAAACAAAACATTCCCTGCTCTTACAATTATTACATCGCTTAGTCTTAACATTATTACGGTCGCTGTGTGGCTGAAAATATGCCGAGGCGACTTAAAAAGTTAAGCTCACAATTATTTCATCCCGTGCTCTTACAGTTATTACCTTTCATGCTCGTACCATTATAACACTCCATGCTCTTACACTTATTACATTCCATGCTCTTTCAATTATCGTTTCCCATGTTCTTACATCTCAAGGGCTTACAATTATTCCAACCCACGAAGCAACCCATGCTAGTCGTAAAAGGCGACTAACGGGATCGGCTGGTCAGGTTCGCTGTCTTGATTGATGCATGTCATTGTATCCCAATTGCGTGGATCGATGCTCATGATGTCGATTATTTACAGACTGCCGTCATATAGCTGGAATGTTGCTGAGTGCGGCGTTAAACAACAAACAAACAACAACAATTATTCCATGATCTTAAAATTATTACATACCGTGCTCTTACAATTATGACATTCAGGCTCTTACAATTATTACAATCCATGCTCTTACAATTATTACATTCCATGATCTTACAATTATTACATTCCATGCTCTTACAAATATTCTATCCCATGATCATACAATTATTACATTCCATGATCTTATATTATTACATTTCATGGTCTTACATTATTACATTTCATGATCTTACAATTAGTCCATCCCATGATCTTACAATTATTACATTCCATGATCTTACAATTAGTCCATCCCATGATCTTACAATTAGTCCATCCCATGATCTTAAATTATTCCATCCCATGATCTTACAATTATTCCATCCCATGATCTTAAATTATTCCATCCCATGATCTTACAATTATTCCATCCTATGATCTTACAATTATTCAATCCCATGATTTTACAATTATTCCATCCCATGATCTTAAATTATTACATTCCATGCTCTTACACTAATTTTCCCTCAGTCATACATTATTACAGCTGTTTTAATTATACTTCATCCACTGCTGTACCAGTGAACACCCATGTTAATCAGAGACACATATCTCCACAAAGAATCAAGGGCTTAATTATATTATAAAGGCAAACATATCGTTTTGTTTAAAGGGTCGGGTGTTCTATTGGTTAAAGCGTTCGTGTGTCACGCTGAATACCCGGGCTCGATTCTCCACATGGGTACAATGTATGAAGCATATTTCTAGTATCCCCCGCCGTGATATTGCTGAAATATTGTTAAAAGCGATATAAACCCATACATAAATCCTGACATTATATACATATATGAATATACCACAAACTAAAGCAATGTAACTATTTTGGCATGCACATTCAAAAGCTAAATATACAAACCTCTTTCTTTCTCAATACCAAAAATATTTTTGACATTCATAAAGACGGATGATTACCAAACAACAAACCTTATACTCACGAAGCACGCTGTGTTAAAGTGAGAGCGCTTGTTTATTGTCGAGCACGCCTCGGGGGCCTGATTGTGTCGGCCCTACTCGGATTACTGTGTCATGAATACATACTGTGACTGCTCAATGGGAAGTGTGTTTCTACATAGTGTACGGATGCATGTGTTTATTAAAACGTACATTGCATATAGAATTATATATATGATAATCTTATACACTACACTATTTTTACCAACGTCCCATCGACGCGGCCGGATCGCGATCTGTTCGTAATACCATCGCGATCAGGTCGAGTTAGGTTCGCAGTCCTCGATACTAGTAACACGACAGGATCGCGACCTGATCGCGATGGTATTACGAACAGATCGCGAACGTCCAAGACCCAGCGAATAGATTAAAACGTGACCCCAACTCAATTCTTAAATGATTTGGCAAGTCCTGAAATTAAGCATTGATCTGGGCTCCATTTGGATTCTTCTTTTTATTGTGTAGATATAATGGATGTATTTTTAAATACGATAATTTTATTTCTGGTGCTAATTGTTGGGCTAGGATACAAGGGACGGTGGGCAAGCCTAGTAGTAACAACGTTAGATCGTGACACTGAAGACCCCGAGTATGATTCTACACATAAGTTGGATGTGGAGCCTGTTCTTGTTTTTTTTTGTCGGATCTTATAGGTTCGAGATCACATTTCGCGGCTCTGCCAAGACGGGGAAGTTTGTTTGAACAATTGTGAAACAGGAATCGGAAGTAGGATGCCGAAAGCTTTATAGACACGCGAAGTCACATCATGATCTTTCATGTTAATGTAAAAAATACAAAACGGTCTATCAGTCTAGATTATCTTCCGAAATAGATTCCATTGGACGTAAAAGGCAAAATAGTTTCCTGGAACAACACTTATAGCGAAAAGGGCGCCTCAGGTGACAAGGAAACATGCCGTTTCTCAATGTAAAGAAATATTATATAACAAACTTGCGAAGCTTAGAAAAACATGTTTCCGTTAAGGTTTACGAGTGGGCTTTTCAAGATCAGTACATGTGACTAATATGTTCAGAAATAGCTGCTATATGTAACATCCTAAAAGAAACACCTTTCCGTTCCATGATCAGTATTTATGACTAAATACCTGCTATCTTGGATCAATTTCACAGTTACGCTTAAACTTAATAACCAATTGACTAGATATTCGAAAATTGTATGTTTGTATATTTACCTTTCCCGTCAGTCGACAACTGGCCAAGATACAATATTCCATGTCAAAATGCACGTCAAGTTCCTCCCGCCTTAACTCACACAAACGTATTCAGAAAAAAACCAAATCCGTCATATCCCCACACAAAGACCCGTTCTCTCTGCGTGCCCTTACAGCTGTATATACGAACACGCCGAGCCTATAGGTCGTATATGTATTGATCATAACGCTCCGATTGGTTTTGATCGATCTCGAGTGTTGTTGGACGCTTTAGCTTCTAGGGCTTTGATTTACAGCGGTGGCGTGATGAACAGATTGATTATATGCAAGAATCGTTGGCGTTCGGCTTGTTTACACATTCTGCATTTGTAATATAAATTATGTATAAGATTTTTCACTGACATGTCTGTTTAAGAGGCATACATTTTATGAAATATGTCATGTTTTTTATGACGTCAGTTTATTTCGTCGCGCATTGATATATGCTGATGAAGTGAGTGAGTGGATTTTAACAGTATTCCAGTTATGTGTGGGAGGAAGGCCCGAAGTGATGCAAATCTGGGTATGGTGCTGACAAGCCAAGGAACATAATCGGGATGAAACGGGACTCGAACCCTAATTTCAGTTTCGAATACAATTTCATTGTAGCTATATCTCCTAGGAGATGGAGTTCTAATCTCCTAGGATTTATCTCCTGATCTCACCCAAGGATATCTCCTTCGAAAGTCAGTTTGGGATGATAGAACGTGACATCGAGCAGAATAAGGGTCACGATTGCCGATAGTATTGTACAATTTGAAAGTTACTTGAACAAGTGAAACTAGTGGATATAGTTTCAATATGGATTCCTCCTACTGCTTGCCGAGATGACTATGGGGTCGAGCCGCAATAGGGTCACGATTGCCGATAGTATTGTACAATTTGAAAGTTACTTGAACGAGTGAAACTAGTGGATATAGTTTTAATATGGATTCCTCCTAATGCTTGCCGAGATGACTATGGGGTCGAGCAGCAACATGATCATGATTGCCGATAGTATTGTACAAGTTGAGAGTTACTTGAACGAGTGAAACTAGTAATTACAGTTCCAATATGGCTTCCCCCCAATGCTTGCCGAGATGACTATGGGATCGAGGTGACCCGAATGAAGCTATGGAGGTGGGAAAACCATAAATTGACAACAGTGAACGCCCCGTGAGACCATAAGTCCCTCGGGACTTTAGACTCAGTGACAGAAATGAAAATCTTAATGGATATCAAATACTTTAAGTTTACAGTCGTCAAGGAAGAAACGTGATAACCGATCACCTAGTAAGCTTAAACATGAATTTGATTCTTAAAATGCAATCTACATAATCCCCCGACAATATAACTCCGTGCAACACCAGTCTACGTGTTTGTCTATCGCCTGCATGAGAGCCTTTGACTATTACCTGTTCCCTGCAAGGCGGACAGAGGTAGCTGAACAATCAGTTGACATCGGGGTTAAGTGCGGGTATTATTCATGGCTGGGTTTCTCTCGGAGGCATTAGTGTGGGTAGTGTTAGTCCAAGGTACACAACATCCTTGAGCAATGGAGTAATAAAGAGCGAGGTATTGTGCTTGTTTTGAGTGTTTGAGTGTTTTGCTTCAGCCTTTCTTCAAACAACTTCTAATTTATTACATTTTTTTTGTTATTGGGTCTACATTTTGAGTGTCAAATTGGTTTCAGTGTTAAGGCACCACTTAGGAATTTTAAATATAGACGTTTACCAGTTCAATGAAACCCAAGAAAACGGGTTAGGCGAAAGTCACGAGGACGGGTTAGGTGAAACCCAAGAGAGTGGATTAGGTGAAACCCACGAGGACGGGTTAGGTGAAACCCGCAACGATGGGTTAGGCGAAACCCACGAGGACAGGTTAGGTGAAACCCACGAGGATGGGTTAGGTGAAACCCATGAGGACGGGCTAGGTGAAACACACAAGGACAGGTTAGGTGAAACCCATGAGGACGGGCTAGTTGAAACATACAAGGACAGGTTAGGTGAAACCCATGAGGACGGGCTAGGTGAAACACACGAGGACGGGCTATGTGAAACCCATGAGAAAGGGTTAGGTGAAACACACAAGGACAGGTTAGGTGAAACCCATGAGGACAGGTTAGGTGAAACCCACGAGGACGGGCTAGGTGAAACACACAAGGACAGGTTAGGCGAGACCCACGAGGGCGGGTAAGGTGAAACCCACGAGGCCGGGTTAGGTGAAACCCACGAGGACGGGTTAGGTGAAACCCATGAGGCGGGTTAGGTGAAACCCACGAGGACGGGCAAGTCGAAACACACAAGGACAGGTTAGGCGAAACCCATGAGGACGGGTTAAGTGAAACTCACGAGGACAGTTAAGGTGAAACCAATTAGTAGATCCTTGTGCAACTAAGGGACCTAATTGGCAACACTTGCTCCAACAGAGGTGAGGTGAAATGGGGTTTAACATCGCGACCAAGATTATTACACTTACATAGCGACGTGCATGCATAGGTGTGTGGCTGCTTATAATAGTCCGGGCAAATAGAGCTTTTAAAGTGCTAGCCAACTGAGATACCACGCCGCAGTTTAACATGGATTCCCCACTCACACACAGTATACTGACTCCGATCCAACCATTCCTTGTTTTAACCCAATTAATGCCGAGGCCAGGCTGGGTAAGAACAAGTACTATCATTTAAAGTCTTTTGTTATGCCGCGGCCGGGAATCGAACCCCGGACCTTCCGCTCTTCCGCTCTACCACAAGACCACGTAGGCGGTCTGCTCCAACAGAGACATATGACTCCTGCCTCTTTTCCCCTTCAGAAAGAACAAGTGTACACGTCTTCTCCTTTCATTTCGTCCTATATTGACCATCATAATCATATGGTATGTTGCATTGAAAATTTGTTTACGCTGAATTCGAAACTCTTACTGGCATAAAAAATGACACATGATAATATGTATGTACACTTTTATTCCATTCTCTTATCATGTACGACATCTGGTCGTCACTTGTACGGACAAGCTGAACAGATTGATGCCACTCTACACCAGTGGGTAGCTGGCCTCAGTGGCGATACCGCACTGGTTGTCTTGGTTCCTGGACATCTTGATGTAGCCCGCGTCACCCCAACTGGCGCCCCAACTGAAACACACGAATAATAATAATAATAATAACAACAACAACAACAACAACAACAACAACAACAAATAATAATAATAGTCCTTTTTATTTTAATCTGTAAATAATTATAATAATGATAATAATAATATTTTAATGGCGATGCTTACGACGATGATAGTAAGGACGATGACGACTACGATAAAAAAAATAGCAACACCGACGGCATTTTTGTGGTGATAATAACAGTTATGATAAGCCTAAATGAATATATATTAAAATGCACAAAACGACCAGGTCAAGAACATCCCCATTAATCATAATCAATGTATGCATCAATTGCAGCAAACTAGCTTATAAAAGTACAGCTCGTACAAACATCATACTATAATTCCTGCTGTGTCTTTTAAAGCCCTAGTCAAAAGCAAGTACCTATTTTTCACAAGCCAGTAGTCTTGTTCGCCGCTGCTGCCGTAGCCAACTGCCAACACGCCGTGATCAAGACGGGTAGAGCTGCACGTGGGCTCGTTATAAACGCCGGTCTTGTATAGACGGAAGGTGGGACGGCTGGCGTCGATGGCGACAGAGATGGGACCAACGGTGGCAACAGCTTGTTGAAGAGCGTTCTCGTCGTTGTGGGGAATGTCAGTGAAGCCGGTGTCGGTGGCGCCAACATCAGCCTTCTTGAAATGGCATCTTCCGTCCTGGAACATTTAGTTTTTGTGAGAATATGTTTGGAAATGTTTAAAAAGTATAATATGAAATATCATTTTCTTCAAGAAATATGATCGATATGACAAATATATACAATGACAATATCAATCCAGGCAAATACACATTAGTACATTGTTTGTATTCTACTCGTTTTGAAAAAACCCGCTTAAACACGGCTGATGAAGCAGTATAAATAAACATGCACGACAATTAATGATTTTTTATGTACTGGGTTCGTTTGTAATGGCAAGGTTTAGTTTTTTATAAATCCGTAACATACCCTGGCTTTGTAGGGATAGGAAGCTTCGGTGTCGATACCCTCGTTGGTCTTGATGTACTCGAAGGCCAAGTCCATCAGACCCCCGCCGCATCCATGGTTACCTGATGGAGGAATGGAAGAGTTAGAATTGGTCTTGAGCAACATCTGCTTTTAGGAGATCGGGTGGTCAGATCTGGCTGATGCATGTCATCGTATCCCAACATCGTAGATCGATGGTCATGATGTCAATCACTGTATTATCTGTTCCATATTTGATTATATACAGACAACCGTCATGTAGCTGGAATATTGCTGAGTCCGGCGTCAAACAACAAACCAACAAACGCAAGGTTCAGATCCATTCTGTCAAATATGTCCGAGGCGGGTGGCAGATATAGTTTAAACGCTATTTTTCACAATTCCAGGCACATAACTTATAAGTTAAAAACATTTCACCAAATGATGCAGATATATTGGTGTGCGTATACATCTTAGGTATGCTTAAAGAAAGTGGGAACGCAACCTTGTATCCTCCTCTCGACCATCCGCATATGCATCGCTATGGGGATTTGTAACGGTACCGGTTAAATGATCACTCACCTTCAGGCTTGGAGCAGTCGACAAGGTTCTGCTCGGAGAGAGACACGAGTTGTCCATTCTTCTTGAAGTTTTGACCCTCCAGGGAGCCTGTGGCGGAGAAGGACCAGCAGGAACCACACTGAAGCTGGAACATTGGGTAGGTGTGAGTCAAGTCAGTCATGCTGGATTATTGGATAGGTAGACAGCACTGAAGCTGGAACATTGGATAGGTGTGAGTCAAGGTAGTCATGCTAGCTTCCTTACACAGCACTGAAGCTGGAACATTGGATAGGTGTGAGTCAAGTCAGTCATGCTGGAACATTGGATAGGTGTGAGTCAAGTCAGTCATGCTAGCTTCTTAGACAGCACTGAAGCTGGAACATTGGATAGGTGTGAGTCAAGTCAGTCATGCTAGCTTCCTTAGACAGAACTGAAGCTGGAACATTGGATAGGTGTGAGTCAAGGTAGTCATGCTAGCTTCCTTACACAGCACTGAAGCTGGAACATTGGATAGGTGTGAGTCAAGTCAGTCATGCTGGAACATTGGATAGGTGTGAGTCAAGTCAGTCATGCTGGAACATTGGATAGGTGTGAGTCAAGTCAGTCATGCTAGCTTCCTTAGACAGCACTGAAGCTGGAACATTGGGTAGGTGTAGGTCAATGAATCCATACCAGCTTCCTTAAATCACACACATATTCAGAACATAACTGGCATTGAAACCCACCAGCTAAAACAGGCACTAGTAAGGAGCGCCCTAATTATGCAAATATTCCTCACGGAAACATTCATCCACCCATCCATCTGTGGGCGGTACTCTAGCCGTTCACTGTACCTGGTTCTTGACTTCTGTAACGTATCCCTTGGTTCTCCAGTCGACCTCTGTGGGAAGGTCACCGAGGTTGCTGGGTGGGAGAAAGGTTGCACCACGACGGGTTCTGTTGACCATTCTGTAACCGTTCATCTGTCTCACAAACTCCTCAGAAGTCTGGTAATTAAATAATATACGTTAACATTTTAATTTTAATTTCAAAGACGAATTTGTCTTGCAAACAAACACAAAATCCATCACAGCCAACTCCTTACAAATATTTCTTGTGTAGTGTACCGTGTCATGAATGATTTTATGTGCGCTTGTTTCTCTGTTGTGCAGAAAGGGACCCAATCTCATTAAAATCAGATCTTAGTTCTCGCTATCGCGAAATAAAGATCTGAGGACATCCCATTACGGTGATTCCGTCCAAATTATCGTCTATTTCTAGCTTCCGTTGGATAACCATTTGAACGGAGGAGGCGTTGCACAGTACGTGGGAAGCACTGCCATACAATCTCAACCATATATTGGACATTCCGGAATGTTCGTTTGTTCAGTTTTCTAAATTTTAATCGAGAACTGTGTCAACATATTTTTCAAGCGTAGTCTGAAATGGAAGTCGCCCGGTTGAAACGAGTGCCGTAAAGCTCGAGAAAGTTGCATTCTAATTGGCTGATGTCGACTTCTTGTTAGTCATTTCAGTGGTCGGTCAAAGTTCGCGAAAGGTCGTTCTGTCGTGACCCGTGATGGAATGTCCTCAGATCTTTTTTAAGCGGTACCAGAACTTAGATCTGATTTTAATGAGATTGAAAGGGACGTCGATTCCGGCACATGGACACAAAAAAGGAGTGTTTCAAGTCGTTCAAACTCAGGTGTGTTTTTAACTCAGACTTTTTGACTTATCTTTGACTAACATGTAGTCCCAGAAATAAATTTATCCAATTTAAAAATATATATCGACAAAATAGAAAATAAAATACAAATGGAGCCTAGAACAACATCTAGATATTCCAAATCATTCTAGACTTAGTTTATTATTTTAAAGTTATTCTCTGGGGTCAGGGAGACAAAATAGTTGTATCTAAATGTTACTTGTAATTTTTACCCTAATTAGGCAGGGACGTGTATCATGGTCACGCATGGCATAAAGTACAACGTCTAGACCAAGACTTGACGCTGGAACGTGGTGCAGAGTACTCCTTTAACGACACACTTCAGATACCTGCTTGTGTCCTAATGAGATATCCATCATTTGGAGCAACGCACTGACCCATTGGCCCGAATGTTATCCGACGTCACGTGACGTTATCTGAATTTCCACTCACCAGATCTGCGTACTCATTGACCCCCAGTCTGTAGCTGTGAAGACCGCGGTCAGCTTCCAGATTGTGTTGCTGGATGTACTTCAGACTGCTCTCCCAGACCAGACGTCTGTGGAATCAAACAGTCACGAATCAGACATGTTTTCACTTACTTGTAAAATACTTGACTTTTACCGGTCAGTAACGGTTTTATTGATTTCCATTTGACCCGCTTCAACGTTTTACGGCTGGGAACGATATTCCCAGCTGTCATGGAAACAGACAGTTTGTTTACCTCTGTTATGGATGTAATTCAAGCTCCTTACAGCAAAGGACGTCACCTAATGTATATTAGATGTACGTGATGCACAGCGCCTAAACATGGAGCTCGGTAAAATTGCGACATGCCAACGCTTCGCATTTTATCGTAAATGGTGGGAAGATAAATTCGGTGTATGCCTATCACGAAGGGGATAGGGTATGATGTACCCTGAGTTTGCCAATTCCTGTCGGCTCGGGGTACATGACCACGCATAGATATCGTCCTCTGTGATAACCCTACAATTAATAATAGCATGTTTTCTTCATAGTTTCAGTTTTCATATTTTTGCAAATATCCAATGATTGAGTCGTTTTTAAAAAGTTGGTGCTTTTATTTATCATATTCACATCACATCTATACTGTCATCTTTCACAAATAGGTGGGAGGCATATTTACGACAATCGTAAAACACCGTCTAGGTTTACGATAGCTGCAAAAGTCGAGGAAGATCCATTCGTCGACTCACACCTCTCCGTAACTTGTTCAGCAGAATGACAGGTGTTGGGTTATTTCGTGACCAACTCGTGTTTTTCCGGGACAAGCCGAATAGCGGTTACGGAAAGAGGCGAGTGGTGACGAATGGTGTAGGTTATAAAGGAAACAGTTTGACGCCAGATGCGGTATGAAGTTGTGTATGATAAAAACACTTTTGTACTTAGGAAAACTGTGAAGTTTACCTTTCCACTTAAACACTAAAAGACTCGGTTAACAAACGTAAAACATGGAGAACTTGGCAATGTTGCATTTTAATAAATTTTTACATCTGAAAATACACTTTATGTTTGCCCTGCACCATGACTGTGGAATAAATGTATTTTATGAAATTTTATGAAACCTACCTAGATTTATATAAAAGCAAGTCCAGCTAAATCTTTTGAAATAAGCATCAGGGAAATATTTTTTTCACTTTTAGAGGAGAGAAATGTATTGTGTAATAACAATTTCACACACTGTATATAAGTCTAGCTTCATGTATGTATGGTTTCCTTACACGTTTCCTTGTCAATAAATGGTATTCGGCAATCAATTTGGGTTTTTTATATATAAGAAACGACAATCGGTTGACGATATCTGTTTTCTCTCTAAATGATGACATATTATCGAGAAAGGAAATGGACACGAAGGTGTACATATGTAGCATCTAAAATGGAGAGACCGCCTCCGTGGTCTAGTGGTAGAGCGTCCGCCCGGCCGCGTCATACCAAAAGACGTTAAAAGATGGTACTTGTTGTTACCCTGTCTGGCGCTCGGCATTAAGGGACTATAACAAGGACTGGTCGGTTCGGGGTCAGTATTCTGTGTATGAGTGGGGTATTTATGTTAAACTGCGGCATGGTATCTCAGTGAGCTTGCACTATAAATCGGCATCAGTCCGGACAAGTACAAGCAGTCACACACACACACACACACACACACACACACACACACACACACACGTGCATGCACGTCGCTATATAAGTGCAATAATCTTGGACGCGACGTTAAACCCCATTTCACCTCCCCTCTAAAGTGGGGACACATGTTTTTATGTCTTAAAGGGAGGTGAACATGTATGTTGGTTGAGACTCTTTAAGCATTTACACACGCACTTCTAGAAACTGGACACCCAAACTGGGTTTGGGTCATTGTATCATGCTGGGATCGAACCCGGTCTACCGTGTGACGTGCGACTTAGGAACCACGAGGCTAAGAACAACCCATCATGATAACAATTGAGATCGGACCTTCATTCTGTCAACTGAAGATAACACATGTTCTGTCAGAGACCGACGAGTTATCACTGGAACGTTATCACAAGAGTGTTATCAGCCGTCCGCACCTTTGGTCTAGTTATCTTGTACGTAACACGTACCCTGACCTCTGAGTATCACAAAGTCACACGAAAGTTTGTAAAAAACACTCACAACGTATTGTCACTCATGTTGAAGTTGGTATTGTTCATTTTTTGTAATTTTGTACTTGTGGAATGTAGCATAGCAATTATATTTATATACAAATTTCCCCCAATCTTCGTGTGCTCAAAACATTATTTGAAATAAGGGTTCTTATGTACTTATCATAAGTAATGTTCAATCATATTTTCAAATTGGTTTTACGAGTACGAAACTTCTATAGACGCCAGTAATTGAGATAAATTAATACTATCTGAACTGTATCATAGATGCGTTTTGATTATACAAACCTTTCATTAAAATATAAATTAAATTAATGATTTTTTAAATCGCCTTCCAAGTTCTCAGCTTGACGAGCGAACCCTCGAAATACTGGACTACCCAGCTGTCAAGTTTCAGTAAGAGAAAAATGTCCTACTTTTTCTATCAGTGTAACGTAACGTATGTGCAGCGTTAAACAGGGAGGGATGGTGGTGTGGAAAGTGTGTAGGTTGGCTTGTTTGTTGTTTAACGCCGCACTCAGCAATATTCCAGCTATATGACAGCGGTCTGTAAATAATCAAGTCTGGACCAGACAATCCTGTGATTGACAGCATGAACATCGATCCACGCAATTGGTATACGATGACATGAATCAACCAAATCAGCGAGTCTGATCACCCGATCCCGTTAGTCGGCTCTTACGACAGGCATAGTGGCCTTTTACGGCAAGCATGGGTTGCTGAAGACCTATTATAACCCAGATCTTCAGGAGCGTAGGTGTTTAGGAGTGTCTTACCTGATGATAGCGTCCTCCGTGGAGTAGACCTTGTTGTAGGTCTGTTTGAAGATCTCCCACTCGCCATCCAAGGCGTGGTCAAGAGGGGCGGCGACGGCAACGGCCACAAGAAGGGCAACAACAGCGTATCTGAACATCTACAACGACAATAAGTGATTGAATAAGTGAGTGAGTAAGTTCCATTATATCAGTGTGTGTTTGTTGTTTTACGCCGGACTCAGCAATATTTCAGCTTTATGACGGCGGTCTGTAAATAATTGAGGCGGGGGACACCAGAAATAGGTTTCAAACATTGTACCCATGTCCGGACAACCAAACTCTTCGTCGTGACGAGCGAACGCACTAACCACTAGGCTACCCTACCACCCCGCGGCAGAATGAATTACCAGCGTATTACCAGCGTATTAGCTAAACTTAAACTTTAGTAATACAGCCTAGATCTATCAAATGTTAAAAAATACAGCATTATATCTAATTCAGTAAAGAACATCATATACAATTGTTTGCGATCCAGTTACCAAGAGTTCTACTACGACAACTACGAGACTGAAATCAAGAAGTATGTACATTACCTCGTGTTGGTGGTGGAGCAGGCTGATGACAGCAATGTGCACGGCTTTATAGTATGAAATTATCTAGAAAGCTCATATGCCGGTCATGTGCTTCCGTCACGAGACGCTCGATAACGCCCGTCCACCAGCGTAGCCTAGGGACGATCATGTTATTTTGCATGTGATTGATTGTATTGCATGTGATTCGCTGGTAAACATGTTCCACGTGTATTGTCTATAGTCGGTACATTGACGTACAATTGAAGGGGATGTGAGTAAAGATATGACGGCGACAGATCAACAATAAATAGGCCATTCTTAACACGTTCGGTAGAATAGTCGTTTGCCGTTTGGCATGGAATTGAAAAATTGGAAATATCTTTGTGGACGAATAAATAATGATGCTGGTGGCGTAATTCCACAATGTACATGTATTATGATGATGATGATGATGATGATGATGATGATGGTTATTATTATTTTTAAAAATATTATTTAGGCTCATCTTCAGCTCAGGGCCATTGCCCTCTCTACACGCAGCCCAGGGATAATTTATTATTTTGTCACGTCAATTCTCACACTATCAATTACACAGTATTAATATATTGGGTTCAAAATATGCGGACAAAAGCATTATGACAAACTGATAAGGAAAGAAGGAACGTGAAAACGCAAGAGCTGGAACGTTTAAAACTTTCCTGGTCTCGTCAAATGCAAGTAATATTCTTCCTTGACACCAGGAAATAATCCTCGTTTCACCCATGCTCAAGTGTTTACAAATCCTCGTGAAGTGTAACATACAGACAAAAAACAAGGAAACCGATACGATATCAACAGTATCTATTGTACTTGTTTCAGTGTATTATCTGGAGTAGTGATTTCCGGCTGACACAGTAACTATTTTTCTCGTCGTTTTGTATTGAGGTAATGCATTTAATATGATCCGTATAACTGTAGCTATCCCTAAAACTGTAAGACACAATTTAAAAAAGGGGTTGATCGCTTATTCTGTAATTATCTGTTTGAATGATACAGCTGTGAATATATATATATATATATATATATATATATATATATATATATATGTGTGTGTGTGTGTGTGTGTGTGTGTGTGTGTGTGTGTGTGTGTGTGTGTGTGTGTTTAATATGTATAATTATCAGATAGTTTGCTGAAATACAGTGAAAAAACAACCAAGTTAGGTGAGGTCAAACAGGTTTTAACGTGGCGTTCAATATTAATGCATGCATGAAGAGCGACGTGCATGCACAACAGGAAGTACAATCTTCAAGCGTCTTTTGAGGATCGAACCACCGACCTTACGTTCTACGGGCACTATCCACTAGACCACGGTCTATACTCAGATGAAATAGTCGCCGTGGTCATAGAAATTTATAGATGAATGAAAATTTATCATCATTGTGATGATAGTATCTAGGAAAGGTGAGGTGAGGTGAAATTGGGTTTAACGTCGCGTCCAAGATTACTGCACGTGTGTGTGTGTGTGTGTGTGGCTGCTTGTACTAGTCCGGACTGATGCCGATTTATAGTGCCAGCTCACTGAGATACCATGTCGCGGTTTAACATGAATACCCCACTCAGACACAGTATACTGACTCCGAGCCGACCAGTCCTTGTTTTAGCCCCTTAATGCCGAGCGCCAGACAGAATAACAACAAGTACCATCTTTTAACGTCTTTTGGTATGACGCGGTCGGGGATTGAACCCCGGACCTTCCGCTGCAGTGTGTGATTTGACACGATTATTTACGGGCCGCCTTCACATGGCTCTATATTGCCCACAGCGGCGCCAACCAGTAAACGGGTACTTGTGATTCCTAACACGGAGGCATTGTGGAATGTACAGTCGAGTTGTCCTCTCTTGGATAATGCCAAAAGCAACGTTATTCAGCTTACAGTCACTCGAATGAATCGTGTAAATATATGCTCGAATAACAATGATTTGGAAACCTACATTACAAGGCGAGAAACTACGGAAGCGTAGTAGGGCCACGGTGATTTTTTTTGTCTAAGTATCTCCGACGTAGGACTTATTATATACGTAGGACTTAGTCTCTCCTACGTAGGACTTGCTATCTCCTACGTAGGCCTTACTATCTCCAACATAGGACTTAGTATCTCGTACGTGGGCGATAGGAAGTCCTATGTAGTAGATAGTATGGACTAGAATAACTATATCCAACGTCGGACTTAGTATCTCCTACGTAGGCGATAGGAAGTCCAACGTAGTAGATAGTATGGACTAGAATAACTATCTCCTACGTAGGACTTATTATCTCGTACGTGGGCGATAGGAAGTCCTACGTAGTAGATAGTATAGACTAGAATAACTATCTCAAACGTCGGACTTAGTATCTCCTACGTGGGCGATAGGAAGTCCTTCGTTGACTCGGGAGTTGTGGCTGTGGATAGTCCTGTGGCTGGTGCTGTGAATGGTGCTGTGGCTCTGGATGGTGCTGGTGCTGGTGTTGGTGCTGGTACTGGTGCTGGTGCTGTGGCTCTGGATGGTGCTGGTGCTGGTGCTGGTGCTGTGGCTCTGGATGGTGCTGGTGCTGGTGCTGGTGCTGGTGCTGTGGCTCTGGATGGTGCTGGTGCTGTGGCTCTGGATGGTGCTGGTGCTGGTGCTGTGGCTCTGGATGGTGCTGTTGCTGGTGCTGGTGCTGGTGCTGTGGCTCTGGATGGTGCTGGTGCTGGTGCTGGTGCTGGTGCTGGTGCTGTGGCTCTGGATGGTGCTGGTGCTGTGGCTCTGGATGGTGCTGGTGCTGGTGCTGTGGCTCTGGATGGTGCTGTTGCTGGTGCTGGTGCTGGTGCTGGTGCTGGTGCTGGAGCTGGTGCTGTGAATGGTGCTGGTGCTGTGGCTCTGGATGGTGCTGGTGCTGGTGCTGGTGCTGGTGCTGGAGCTGGTGCTGTGAATGGTGCTGGTGCTGTGGCTCTGGATGGTGCTGGTGCTGGTGCTGGTGCTGGTGCTGGTGCTGGAGCTGGTGCTGTGAATGGTGCTGGTGCTGTGGCTCTGGATGGTGCTGGTGCTGGAGCTGGTGCTGTGAATGGTGCTGGTGCTGTGGCTCTGGATGGTGCTGGTGCTGGTGCTGGTGCTGGTGCTGGTGCTGGAGCTGGTGCTGTGAATGGTGCTGGTGCTGTGGCTCTGGATGGTGCTGTTGCTGGTGCTGGTGCTGGTGCTGGTGCTGGAGCTGGTGCTGTGAATGGTGCTGGTGCTGTGGCTCTGGATGGTGCTGGTGCTGGTGCTGGAGCTGGTGCTGTGAATGGTGCTGGTGCTGTGGCTCTGGATGGTGCTGGTGCTGGTGCTGGTGCTGGTGCTGGTGCTGGAGCTGGTGCTGTGAATGGTGCTGGTGCTGTGGCTCTGGATGGTGCTGGTGCTGGAGCTGGTGCTGTGAATGGTGCTGGTGCTGTGGCTCTGGATGGTGCTGGTGCTGGTGCTGGTGCTGGTGCTGGAGCTTGTGCTGTGAATGGTGCTGGTGCTGTGGCTCTGGATGGTGCTGTTGCTGGTGCTGGTGCTGGTGCTGGTGCTGGAGCTGGTGCTGTGAATGGTGCTGGTGCTGTGGCTCTGGATGGTGCTGGTGCTGGTGCTGGAGCTGGTGCTGTGAATGGTGCTGGTGCTGTGGCTCTGGATGGTGCTGGTGCTGGTGCTGGTGCTGGAGCTGGTGCTGTGAATGGTGCAGGTGCTGTGGCTCTGGATGGTGCTGGTGCTGGTGCTGTTGCTGGTGCTGGTGCTGTGGCTCTGGATGGTGCTGGTGCTGGTGCTGGTGCTGGTGCTGTGGCTCTGGATGGTGCTGTTGCTGGTGCTGGTGCTGGAGCTGGTGCTGTGAATGGTGCTGGTGCTGGTGCTGGTGTTGTGGCTCTGGATGGTGCTGTTGCTGGTGCTGGTGCTGGAGCTGGTCCTGTGAATGGTGCTGGTGCTGTGGCTCTGGATGGTGCTGGTGCTGGTGCTGGTGCTGGTGCTGTGGCTTTGGCTCTGGATGGTGCTGGTGCTGGTGCTGGTGCTGGTGCTGGTGCTGGTGCTGTTGCTGGTGCTGGTGCTGGTGCTGTGGCTCTGGATGGTGCTGTTGCTGGTGCTGGTGCTGGAGTTGGTGCTGTGAATGGTGCTGGTGCTGTGGCTCTGGATGGTGCTGGTGCTGGTGCTGGTGCTGGTGCTGTGGCTGTGGCTCTGGATGGTGCTGTTGCTGGTGCTGGTGCTGTTGCTGGTGCTGGTGCTGGTGCTGGTGCTGGTGCTGTGGCTGTGGCTCTGGATGGTGTTGGTGCTGGTGCTGGTGCTGGTGCTGGTGCTGGTGCTGGTAATAAGATAACAAAAGGTGGAAACTAACAAGTGAGGCCAACAGATAATTACCGCTGATAGGTGATTAGCAATAGACAATAGAAGCCAACACTTTACAGTAATTATCGCTGATAGTTATGGACAATTGGAAGCCAGGATTGTAATTATCTCTGATTGCTAATTGGCAATGGACAGTGGGCAAACGGGAGGCTGGCGGTAATAAGCACTGACAGGTAAAAGAATGGAAATAGCAATAGGCAAATGGACATATGGAAGCCAGCCAGATAATTCGCACTGACAAAGATCAAAGCAATAAGTCCCAAGTACGAGGCATATAGGTTCCCTGGTCACGGTTCATGGCTTGCTGTAGTCTCCTGATGTCAATGGCTTCCTGTAGTTTTCTTTGTCGCCAGTTGTTGTTGTTGTTGTTGATAGACATTACTTTGGTGGCTTCCCACATGATGTTATGGTCTTTGGTTCTTGAGGATGTGTTCTGAAATAGCGGATTTCAGATCTAATTGTTGACAGAGGTCTGACGTTCTTTGAGTGATGAGATGTTTGAGGGTTTCTCCAATGTACTGGTGGCCACATTTGCAGGGGACCTGGTATATACATCCTCGGGGGTTGGGACTTACACTGCTTGTGCCTCTGCCATTAGCTTGTAGATGGGTCTTGATGGACTTGCCGTAAGAAAAGGTGATATCTGTGTTATCTTTGTTCTTGGTGAAGCGGGAAATCTGATGAGTGACAGGGCCTTGGTAGGGTATGATGATTCTGATGGGCGACGGGGCAGGTTTGGGTCTGGGATCGGAGTTCATGAGGGACTTGCGGATGGTTTTGGAGACTAGGTGGGTATTTAGCTTTTGAGGGACGTGAAGGTTTCCTTGAGATGGTCCAGTTAACTGTTGAGGGCATCAGGGTGGTAAATGGACTTGGCACGTCGGGTGAGGGTGGCAATGATGGCCTATGTTATCTGGGGATGGTGGCAGGCGTTGTAGTGGATGTACCGGTCTGTGTGTGTAGGCTTCCGGTATCACATTTTACCTTCCCCTTGTCCTGCATAGTCTTCTATTTGTGTCTTCATTGCAAGGGTCTTGTACGTGCGTAGATGCACACATTGATGTATGTTAGTCTGTCTTACAGACCCTGATACAAATATATATCAAATACAGCCCATGCAAGTCTATAATGTTTGGCAAGTCTAGATCACTGCAGTATCAGGAAAATGAAGAGAGTCACTTGGCTCCTTTTTATTATATTTTTATTAAGATAACTGAAAAACTGTTTTTTTTATGTACGATATGTTCATTTCAGAGACTAGATGTTAGTCTATGATGTATGTATATGTACACATATATACTAGAAGTAATATACAGTAAACTACGGTTATAACGAACTCAAATGGACGTTTAAATCTAGTTTGTTATAACCGTAGTTCGTTATATGCATATCTACTACATATATATAGCAAATGGACGGGACCAAAACAGTTTGTCAGTTCGTTATAAGCGTGTTCGTTATAAACGTAGGTTACTGCATAACATAATACCAACGAGAACAAATATATAATTGTGGCATGCTAACAGTAGTGTAAATGGATGAACACCGTGTTTGTCTTCTTGTTGAGTTTAACCGTAACGTACCTCGCATGTGTATGCATGTATCCGAAGAAATTATTAGTTTATACCCGAGTCGTTGGAGTGTATTATTATGAAGTGAACGTTTTCATTGCATTATTAGAAGTACATGAGAAACATGATGGCACATGTTACATGCATTAATCAATGATTCATACTCTCTTCAAATAGGATACTTCTGGACGTTTCTTTTACCTGCCTGTGGTTTTGCATATTATAGGATATAAGGTATAGTTCAAATACTGCATACAGTGACACTATGGTCGATCATTACTGGTTGAAGACGGATAGCTTGAGACTTCAGAGAACTACTGATGTGTGTTTACAAATGTTGTTTGTTTGCTTGGTTGTTGTTTAACGCCGCACTCAGCAATATTCCAGCTATATGACGGCGGTCTGTAAATAATCGAGTATGGAGCAGACAATCCAGTGATTGACATCATGAGCATCGATCCACGCAATTGTATATCCGTCATGGTCCCTGTGGTTTTGAAAGAAGTTACCTTACCAATTATTGAAAAAGACCCTGCAAGAATGATTAAGTAAGGCATGAAAAGGAGACCCTCGATGTACCAAAATACCCTGAAATCCTTAAAAGGACACATGAGATACCCAGTTTATACTGCCATGCTCGTCATTTTTTATCATCGTTGTGTAGCAAAATACTATTGATAACTCTTCAAGGGATCCCTCAAAGAACAACCCCTGTGCTTCTGTAAATGTATTACGATCTTGGTTTTGAAAATTCATTTACGAATTATGAAAAAGACCCACTAAGGATGATTAAGCAAGGTCGACAAAGGAAAGCCCCCAACATAGAAAAATACCATGAAATATCAACATAAATATTGACCATGGTAACGGGAATGGGGGAAATGTTTGAATTGAACTGGCCTTTGGTTGGTATTTTTGGATAGGCTGAATCTTGACATTCCTTGAATATGCCATCCATATTCTGTCATATCATTGATTATAGCATGAACATCCCTTTTAGTCACTAACTAACTCAATATCTTTGTCAAAGGACAATAACACAAAGAATGTAATGTTTGACGTCGACTTTATTTTTGAATCATGGTGTACATTCACGTGGTCACAATCACATGTTAAAGGGTGAAACGGGCTTTTACATTTGTCGAGTTTTAGTTATATTTGTATCTAACAGTGCTATCTACTTAACATTCCCTGTATGAAGATAAAACGGTATATAATGCACTGTTGTCTATTCGGGCGTCTTCCCCTGGACCAGGTTTCACACGTTCAGTTGGATTACTGAGCAGGCTCCCCAACATCTGAAACAACACAATGATAAAATATTATGCTGACGCCATTTTTTAACCACCTGGTTTACATATATTATTTTTCAGAACTGAATTTTTGTCGAAATGAAAATTCAAAATAAAATTGTGAAACTTATCTTTAAGTAAGTTCTTTCAAGGCGTGTCGGTACAAATAAAATAAATTAAAACTAAATTGTCTTGAAATAACAAGTGAAAGGAGGTCCTTTTTTCGATAATGATTTACGTATCTGTTTTCATTACTGACTCAAAATCAGTAATTTGACATGAAACTATTGATACATCATTTTTAGTAACGATCTCGATTTTGTTTTCATTTTCTGTGCAAAAACAGTGGCAATGGTTTGACTGATTTGCGAGCAAGGCAGGTTGCATTTTGTTTAACATCTGAATCATCTGCACATGAAATAAGGAATTTTATATGCAAATAAACCTGTTATTTTGTGAATAACTGATGATTTGTCTGTTTCTTTTAAACAATCTCTGCTCACCGATAACTGGAGGATCGACCAGGACTGCTACACCATCCAAGGGGACACAGCCGTCTGATGTATGAAGAGAGAAACATTCCTTGATATATTCACAATGTGTGCTTTCTAAGAGGGATAGGAAGTACTATGGTTCAACGCCATTACCACATTATGAACATGTTCTTTGACATGCTTACCCTTTCCGTTAACACTTGGTTGGTTGCTTGATTTGTTGTTTAACGCAGCACTCAGCTATATTCCAGCTATATAACGGAGGTCTGTAAATAATCGAGTCTGGAGCAGACAATCCGGTGATTGACATCATGAACATCGATCCACGCAATTTGGATCGATGACATGCATCAACCAAGTCAGCGAGCCTGACCACCCGATCCCGTTAGTCGCCTTTTACGACAAGCATAGTCACCTTTTACGGCAAGCATGGGTTGCTGAAGACCTATTCTACCCCGGAATCTTCACGGGTCGTGAACACTTGGTGTCAAACTGATTTTCAGTGGCCCATTCACATAATTTTCACAGCTAGTTTTTAATTTAGATCAAGTGGAATCTCTTTTGGCGGAAGATTTTGACTGGTTATTCTCTTGCATTGACAGTTCATATTTATAAGAGTTGATATGACTTGAAGCTGGAGTTGTTTCACAAATATTTGTTTTACAATCCGAGCAATATGTCATCTACCGTCATCAGTGAATTCTAAGGACATTATTTATAACTGTTTGGGATCTGGCCAAAGCTGATCGTACTCTGGAACCTTATATGTAAACTCACTATTCCGTTATTATTATTGTAAAGACCTTACCTCCGACACATTCTTGGCCTGGAAAGAAATAATATTTATATTAATATTTAATACCAAGGACTGAGGTGCCATGTTATCATGTACCAATGGTACATGTATTTGCATTCAGTTAAGGGTATGTGATCTTCAGTTAATAAGCAAACCGATACGCATTGTCCATGTTATACATTGAGTTACTGTTATTCAATTTGCTTTTCTTACATCCATGACAGATGATACTTTTCAAGAGAAGTTGATGCTTACCGTTGGCTCCGAGAATTGAAGGTGCAAATCCTTCTGGAATAAAATTATCTTTACTTGATCAATCATCATACGTTCATGATGAAACACAATAATTACACGATACAATATCACAAGTACATCTTATATCATCATCACTGGAACCAACTGCTTAACAGACTTTAGAAAAATCACGACCTGACAATTGAAGCTGAGGCTCTGCATTATCTGTGCAGCACATAGCAACAGGGGTGGAAGATTTGCCGTGGAGGCTTACAGCGCTCAAGTCGACCAGCACACTTGTTTAGGTTCAACAGTGAAAAAATAATCATATAATCGTGCAAGTATTGTGCTATAACAATTGCATTAAAACATACCAGAAGACGGGTACTGAATGCATTTTGTGTGTCAATTTATTAGATTCAGTATCGTCACAGAGATGTTAGTGAAGGTTATCGTATCTTTTAGACGATGTTCTGTCACATTTATTCGTCATGTAATGCCTGTCTCTGATATGTTCAGAAAAGAGAAACAATGTAAATAGAAAAGATTCTGAAATGGTTCACCGTACCCATTAGCTTGCTCCCAAAAGTAAATCAATAACACAAACTAAAACTACTTAAAATATAATTTTTTATTTGCCATACAAGCAACGGATTAAGGAAAGAAATGTGACACAGCCATAAGCGTTATCGAAACGTCTTTCATTATTGAACCAAATTCAATCTATCACAAGGTCCCTGAGTGAGTGAGTATGGTTTTACGCCGCTTTTAGCAATATTCAAGCAATATCACGGCGGGGGACACCAGAAATGGGCTTCACACATTGTACCCATGTCGGGAATCGAACCCGGGTCTTTGGTGTGACGAGCGAACGCTTTAACCACTAGGCTACCCGACCGCCCCACAAGGTCCCTGAACTAAACGCGGTTGCGGTTTGGCGGATGTAGAACTAAATTCAGCTGGTTGGTACGAACCTCCTGTCTCATCAGAAACTTACCTCCTCCATTTTCAGTAGACGAAGATGTAGAGGATGAAGTTGATGTTGATGTTGAAGTCGATGTTGATACTGAACGATCCATTTCTTTAACAGACATACAAATATATGGGATGTACAGGAGTATGTTTGCGTATGTGTTCATTTTAAACAATGAAACAAGTACGCTATGCTATGAAATGAGATATTTATTGTGATTTCTACAAGACATTTCAGAAACGAGTAATTCTAACCGTCGAGGCCGGGCTTTTACGTATTGGGTGAAACAAGACTTTCATTGAGCATTACATCTAACCAGTTGATTACAAGTCAGTAAATGTACTTACCTCTTTTGTTGCTTGCAAGGGAATACGAAATGCCTAAAATGAAATGTTAAAATGATTGAACATATGATTTTTGTTTGTTTGTTGTTTAACGCCGAACTCAGAATATTCCAGCCATATGACGGCGGTCTGTAAAATAATCGAGTCTGGACCAGACAATCCAGTGATTGACAGCATGAACATCGATCCACGCAATTGGGATCGATGATATTTATCAACCAAGTCAGCGAGCCTGATCACCCGATCCCGTTAGTCGCCTTTTACGACAAGCATAGTCGCCTTTTACGGCAAGCATGGGTTGCTGAAGAATTATTCTTACCCGGAATCATCACGGGTCGATTGAACATATGAAGTATTGATGGAACTGAAACAGCTATAAATACACAAGTAGTCAGAGTACAGCTGTATTCAGTGTACATGTACATAGTCTTTATCACCACACTGAGCTGTTTTCCCCCCCCTGATAAGTATTTCGGCCACGAGTGCAATCTCATTAAAATCAGATCTCAGTTCTCGCTGAACAAAGATCTGAGGACATCCCATTACGGGTCACGTCAGACCGACGTTTCGCAAACTCTGACGACCGACCAATGGAATTACTGACAAGAAGTCGACATTAGCCAATCAGAAGGCAGCTTTCTCGTGCTTTACGGCACTAATTTCAAATTGGCGACTACGCTTCGAAACATATTTTGACAATTCTCGCTTAAAAATTTGAAACCCGAACAAAAGAACATTCTGGAATGGCTAATATATGGTCTAGATTGTATAGATTCAGTCGCTATTCGTTCGGAATACCCCGTTTTAAAGTTTTCGAGGCTGCATGATTAGAAATCACATTCCGACTGTCACTTTCATGATGTGGTAAGCGACGCTCTGATTGGTTGGATGAAAGGTCGTTCTGACGTGACCCCTAATGGGATGTCCTCAGATCTTTGTTTAGCGGTAGCGAGAACTAAGATCTGGTTTCAATGAGATTGGCCACGAGTGTCAACTGGATGTGGTAAAACATTAGTGAAAATAGATGCACTATGTTAAAACCCACGATAACAGGAATGGCGCGGGCAAACGAAGACTTAGGGGGAAACTTGGATTTAAACAAACCATCAGAGCATCCTGGCATGACGCGACACTGCTCAGCGAACTCGGGGATAGTGCTAACAATGCTAGAAACATAATCAGGGCGAAAATGGAATTCAAACCCACGGCCATATGTTTCTACCGATCCTTATTACCGATAATCATAATAGCCGTAACACCCGGTGATTGCAGTGTTTTTCCTTATTCAAAAAACGTCTGGGTGCCGTTGTACAAAGCAATCTTAGCACTAAGGTGATCGTAACTCCCATACCTTAACATAGACTTACGACAGTCCTAGCGCTAAGGTTGTTTTGTACTACGGTGTTATTCATATCCTCACGGGCAGGTTTCAACACTAAGACACCCGGGCATATGTGCTGATTGAGATTCCAATAACAAAGTTAATGATGCTTACAGATATGAACAATACTTACAGATGGCGATCAGGAACAAGACGGTGACTTTGGCGGAGTTCATGATGTTCTGTTGTTCTGTGCTGGCGTTGTTCGGTATGAATATCAGAGCTATGACTGCCTTACTTATACTGAATGCTATATACATTATGAGATGTGTATTATTTGAAGGCCAATGTTGATTGTTTGTCTATGGCGGAATCAAGGTCATTAAAGGAAGAGATAAATATCCAGTATTTGTGTTTGCTAAATAGTAAGTAAAATTTCATTGTGAAAGTAAACATACATGATGTAAAGGATACATGGTGGGATTGAAGCTACCTTATCCTTGCTATCCGGATGTTTTACAACCCAAACCAAAACTTTCAACTGTTCTACTGATTTACCACATAGAAATAGAAGAGACAAGTGAAACCGCATCATCTGTTTCGGATTTAGGTTTATGCATAAAGAGGGCGGTCGGGTAGCCTAGTGGTTAAAGCGTTCGCTCGTCACGTTCGATTCCCGACATGGGTACAATGTGTGAAGCCCATTTCTGGTGTCCCCCGCCGTGATATTGCTGGAATATTGCTAAAAGCGGCGTAAAACCATACTCACTCACTTACTCACTCACTCATTATTCAAATAGATTCAGAATGATAAAAAAATATACACAAGACTGTATGACAAGATTGATGACTTCAACTTTCCAATCGTGAACTTTCGAGACATGTTCCAGAGGCTGCATCCCTTTCTGTCCTTTGGAAGTAAGGTCGAGATTGTCATTCGACTCTTGCTCAAAAGTTGTTTGATCACAGTTGCAACATTTAAGGCCTCAGTAAAGCTTTCAAAAAGAGTTATGGTCGTATAGGTTTACTTGTGAACAATTGGCTTGCCCTTGCTTGCATTTGTGAAGGGTGCCATCGGTGGGGTAGTATATGCTCACCTTTTCGCGAACACCTGGTATAATCCGTATTTGGTAGACATTCATAAACACATGCTTATGATATAGTCGGAATCGTACACTGGACTCTGGCCTCTGCTTTCTTATAAATAACGGGAAATGGTTTGAACGCCTTTATTTATAACAAGTCGGAGAACTCTGAATAAGCATCTTAGGACTGACTGAGTATGGTTTTACGCCGCTTTTAGCAATATTCCAGCAATATCGCGGAGGGGGGACACCAGAAATGGGCTTCACACGTTGTACCCATGTCGGGAATCGAACCCGGGTCTTCGGCGTGACGAGCGAACGCTTTAACCACTAGGCTACCCGACCGCTCCAGCATCTTTAGAGGTCACTTTACGGATATAAGGAAATAACAGAGTTGTATCGCTGTCTGTGGAGAGCACGGGATACATTTATAATATAAAGTAACTTACAATTACAATTACAATTTTATGGAGTGGATTGACAGAACACTAACTGTTTCAGATACCAGTACATATGTACAACATATATATATAAGACATAAATATATTTCTACTCACGTCAGACATGATGGTACATGTATAAAAACTCCTCTTTTATCCTCACTATATTTGACAGTGATTCATAGACACACGCTTATCATACAGTTGGAATCGTACAATGGACTCTGTTTTAGTAGGAATGTCACGGAAAGGGTTTTGTGTCCTCTTTCTGTACGTTGTTGTTCAAGAATAAAATGAGTGAGTGAGTGAGTGAGTGAGGTTTTACGCCGCCTTTAGCAATATACCAGCAATATCACGGCGGGGGACACCAGGAATGGGCTTCACACATTGTACCCATGTCGGGAATCGAACCCGGGTCTTCGGCGTGACGAGCGAACGCTTTAACCACTAGGCTACCCGACCGCCCCTAAGAATAAAATGAAAATGGAAATACATTAACATTCTGCTTAATGAAATGTTTCTGGTGTGATGACGTCTTAATGTTTTGTTGGCAACACACCTAAGTTGCTTCTTTTTTAGTAGACAAAGTATTTACGTCAGTGTCACTAAATGCCTGTGTTGCGCTCTAGCCTTAATCCACATATGCATATGTGCTTAATAATTTGTAATGAACTTAACCATAGGTCTGTAATAGTATATGTGCTGTGTGTTTAGGTACTATTCTTTAACGGCTATTGTATCATGATTTATTGCTGTATGAGATAATAGATACATGTGATAAATTCTCATGGAAAATAATACGATCATCATAATCATGAATCTTTGTTGTGATGTACATTCGTCCACCAGGAAGAGAGAGGAAGTGCAGTGTTCTGTCAGAACGCCTAAAACCTACATCACTTCTGGCCTTTACCCCACATTAAATTAAAATCCGTAAAGAAAACGAAATACTGATCAAAGCGGCATCTGGCCAATCAGATCCGTAGGCAAACTGAGATAGTCTGCAACAAACTGTTTTCTTCCAAAATATATAGAAAGGAAAAAGGAAGAAAGCTGCTGAAACATGAAGAAAACATCTCTGAGAATCAAAATATTCCTCCAATATTTCGAGCTTGAAAAGCACTGGTTTCATGGTGTACGTGATTCACTCACAGTAAAATATCTCTGAATATATTACTTCAGGCGTATTCTCAAAATACGTAAGGGTTTAATGCCAGTCAGCAATATTCACGCTTTGTCTCGGTGGCATGAACATAATTAAGTCTTAGCACGACAGTGGCTGATATCATGAGCAATATCCACCGCAGTTGGGTTACGATGACACACAATCTGCCCACCCGATCAATTCCATTCCACTTTTATGACCAGAATTCTTGTTCGAATCTATATCTTTTTTTATGCTTCTTAAAGGTTTAGTAGTGACATGTCATGCACGTGGGTTTTACAAAACTCGAGGACACTGCACAAACTGTCCGCAACTTTCCCGCAGAACAGCATAACCATGTTATAATTTGAATGTCACTACGACTGAATCCAAACCTATTATGAAACAGCATGTCTTTGAATTAACCTTGAGATGCAGCAAGTGTGTCTACACACATGTAGTAATGGAATTGCTAAGCAAATACCATCACCTTGACTTGTATGTCAACAGTGGCTGGTTAATCCTAATTGAAACATTTCATTAAACTGATGTAAACATCCACATCCAAGTCATAAAAGGTACATATTGTTTGATTAAATGTTTATTGATATGAACCTTTTACCTTTCAAGTGACCTGGATACATCTACGACTACTATATAAGGTGTAGTTCCACCCGTCAGTCCATACCGCAGACCTCAGATCACAAAAAGATCAGACCAGTTCGCCAGCAGCCATGACTTCAACCAAAGTATCTGTCTTGTGCTTGATCGCTATTGGTAAGTTCCTCATCATTCTATATCAGTGACATTACAGTGGCTGTCTAATTCCACAGGTCTAGCTAATTCTTAAAGGGTAATGATTGTTATTTGGCGAAAGAAGACTCAAATAATACACCAAAGATTGTCATCGTCATTGACAAAGCTGATCGTTGACAGAGCGCGCAGTGGGTAATGCCTTCGCTTGTCACATACGTCTGTTTGATTTCCAATATGCTACATGGTCAGTTTTGAAAAGCAAATACAAAACTTTGATGGCTGACCCAGAGATTCCTTTGCCCCCAAATGTTGTTATCGCGATCGAGGTCATCGTTTTCCCTCTCCGTCGTCTGGGCAAACAATGACCACACCTCGCGAGAGATCTGAGTGAAAGTTGTTTTACGCCACAGTCAGCAAAATTCTAGCTGTATGACGGCGAACTGTAATGTGTGGAGTTTACATCGGACTAACCAATGGCTTGTAGAATTGGGAACCATGGACGGCCTCCTGGTACGTCGGTGTCATACATTATCCACAAGATCCTCTTAGTCTTAGGGACGGTCGGGTAGCCTAGTGGTTAAAGCGTTCGCTCGTATTCCGAAGACCCAGGTTCGATTCCCGACATGGGTACAATGTATGAAGCCCATTTCTGGTGTCCCCCGCCGTGATATTGCTTGAATATTGTTAAAAGCGGCGTAAAACCATACTCACTCACTCTTAGTCTAAGGTGTACCCTAGTTACGATGGCATACTGGAGCAACAAGTGATTTTCAACGGAGATGACTCATCCAAGTTCTTTGACATTAAGGCCAGTTAATCTTTCTATCGGTTGCCCCTTTAAGCTCGAACTTCGTGAACCAAATAGTCTGTCTTTACTTCGATGAGCCGATTCTTGTTGATGACAATACATCAACCCACAGACGAAGGAAATAACGAATCTTTCATATAACGGCTTGCTTGTGCAAATTGTATTATTGGCGGGTGCTACCAGAAAAGCAGGACATGCTTATCCTTTTCGCGAACTACTCGTGTCATCACTGATTTTCAGTGATCCATTCATGGTATTTTGCCTTTTCCACCTAATGGAGACTTGTTGTGCTCTGTCGTTTAACATTCTATATTGTACTGTAGGTAAGGTAACCTCGGTCTTTCACCATAATATTCAACGTGAATAATGTCACCCCTCTATTGTTATTTTTCAGGCTTGTGCTTCTCAGCTGTAAGAGGTAAGCAGAACTCGTGACAGTTATATTGTCAATAAATGTATGATGGATACCATGGAAAGAGTATGAGTGTGATCGGAATATTTCACATTTTATGTTCAACTACGCAAGGAGTATAAATGTCTAATAAAGGATTCACACATGGTCAGACAATATTCTAGCGTTGTTTAATTATCTCTTTTAGACAATGTATGGCTGTAAACCGAATATTCCGTTCATGTGAACTTTTGTTTTAAAAGGCAGAGAGTATGGATAATTGAATGTATATTTGAATAATTTGAATGACCTTTTTGTCCTGTCTCTTTGTTTATAAATTAACCCTAAACGACAGAAGGAATGTGAGTGAAAGCATAGTCATAACTGTCCTCTTTCTCTGTGTGTGAAGAGTTTTACATCTTAACCGTGGCAAGATCGAGGGCTCGATATTCACCCGGATAATGATCTGTCTTTTATCAGAACCATAGTTTGTGTTGTGTCACGTGAGTGGATGTAGTCTAATATGAATTCTTCTCTCGACTCACTGAGTGTTTCAATGCGTGTGAATGGAGTTTCGGAAGCGACAGTAAAATGCATGGCAAATGTACCTGAACGGACCTGAGAAGGTCACTTTTTTAGTTTTTAGCCGCAAGTTGACTGACA